GAGCAAGATAAGTTCTCAAGAGTACGTAATATATAGTATATCTATGAGGAATTGGGAGTGGGTAGTTATCCCTCGGGGTTAATTAATCCTCACTCTACTATACAGAATTCTCTGATTGGTTGATGCAATTCTCCATTCTCTCTTGTTGGTACAGTATATACAATTTAATAAGGTTCGTGCCTGAATAACTATTCTCAAAATTGAATGTTCGACCAATCAAAAAAGAGTTTATAGTAAGATGAGGGCTAATTAACCCTAAACGAAAGATAACTAGCTTTTCCCTGAAGAATATTTTATCTCATTTTTTAAAAAGTATCCCATCAACTTATCGAAATAGATAAAACTTTCTACGCTTCAATCTTGCTTTTCTATATATATATATATATATAGAGAGAGAGAGAGAGAGAGAGGAATTTAAATATATCCATCCTTATGTATTTGATTACCACAACTGGATCTGCAGTAACGTGACGTAAAATGCAAACCTCAATGAATTCTGATGAAAGTGCATTTCATCCTTTAAATTTTAATCTGAAATGTATTTAGATAACTGAAATTCAATAATTGAACATTCAATATATTTTAAATTTAGAAAGCGTTGAAAAAAATAAACATCTTGATTCTCATTTCTCCTTTTTGCTTACATATTCTTCGAAAATATTCACATAACTCCATCAATATTTGAATATTTGAAGGACTCATTATGTAGTTGTCATACCACAATTACTTCATATGTTCTATCTCAGATATTGGGATACATCTAACTTTCTTTACGGGTGTAGTAAAATCACTTTGAGCTCTTGAAATTTGGAGTTGTAAGATGGGACTCGAACCAATTATTTCAAGGCATTTAAATAAAATATTTACCTATATAATTATTTAAAGAATCATGTTTTTAAATTCCGATAAAAAAACTCAGGCCTGAATATGATAAGTTTCTTGCTTTTGATTATTTTATAGTTCAATGAAGATAATCATTTTATTGGTCGCAGCTTCACTTCTCTTGATCATACCGTCACAAGCCATGTACTTTTGACGTGAGGAAAGATTATTGTATTTGAGTGATTGTGTACTTCTTTATTTACTAATGTACAATAAAATAATTGAATCTCATAGTGATTAGCAAGTCACTATTACAATCGTCATAGTCTATCAGTATCTTCAGAATTTTCAATGTAATGCGGTACTTTTATTTCTACAAACTTTTGTTTTGATGACAGCGGAGCACTCTATGTTGATCAGGAAAAGCAGTTGGTGATGCCTCCGTTCCTCTCGTACAACTGAGTTCGATCTATTTCAGAAAACTTTCTATCTGGACGGTCTGGAATATTTTGATGGGTAATCTTAACGTGTATGTGAGGCTTTGAGTGCTTCACATTCTTTTGCATTTCTAATACACAATCGATTTAGTGGATGACTTTTCATGTCTTTAATCGTTTGCATACACTTTCAGGTAGATCATTTTGATATTTACATGCATTATATTTCCAATTGTGATGCTGTTGGATACAAGTTTAATCACTGCTGGGATATTCGATTTGATCTTGTTATCCTTTTCGCTATTGAACTTGGTCAATCGTTCAGTTATATTTCTCTTCGATGGACACTTATTGGAGTTGGAGGTTTTCTACCTGATTTCGTACTGATAGTACGGTCAGGCTAGAGAGTGAAGAAAGATCTTGAACTGATTGTGGCCTGTTCGAGCATCCACATGGCCATGATCTCATCACTTGACACCGTGCAAGCCATACATCCTGGATGATTGGAGTCGAAGAAGATCACATCAAACCCCAAGCCGTTTGGGAAATAAACATTTAAAGACTACGTAGTCTTTCTTCTATATGCCTTTACTCGCTCCTCTTCTCCTTTCTACATGCCTTCACTGGAGCTCTCCCTTGCACCATGCTTGTAAAATTGTGTAGTCGATCATATAATCATGCACATTTCACATCATTTATTTGCCCATCTTCCGGTAGGTCATTTCGTCAACTCTTTTATTGTGAACTGTCCACTTGTGAGCTGTGTCTCCATGTTGATGGACAGGTGATGGATACTGCCGATGGACCGTTCCACAGAAGTCCAGATGTACGCGTGGATGGTATCAGATTGTCATGTGGGGTCCGAGCGCATGTACTGCTCTCGTCAAGAGTAAGACTGCCTTCGCAGACCTGGGATTGTCCCTTACAACGCCATGGTACAACTGAATGCATTGTATATTAGTGTAGGTACTAAGAGAGGAAAGGAGGTAGTACGAGATATATCCTGAGAATCCTAAGCTTTTTGGATGAGATTCCCCTCTCGTGTTAAGTAGTACGATCAAAGATGAAGCCTTGAGTGTAAACAAATGAACGTACATTTCCATTCATGAAAGCATGATGGAAATGTACACCTTTGAAACATGATTCGGAGTATTGATGTTCATCCATACTCCGAATGATGTTTAAAAGGTGTACATTTCAGAAACTTCTGGAACTCTACGCAATGTCCAGCACTTCCTCTTTATCATATGCAAGGAGATTTGTATACATTTTGGAATATTAATTTAACTAGGTGTGATACTCATGCTTAACTCCAATTTGTTTCAATTTAGCTTTTTATTTACTCTATTGTCACAAATTTGAAGAGAACGTTTTGTCCAAATGAGCCCAGGCGCACAGGTTGACACAGCAAACACACATCACTAAGTACAACTTGAACGTGGATATCTGCTGATTTCCGCCATCGTCTCGGGCTATATTCTTCTCCAAGGAAGAAAGTTTCGGGGCACACATATCATAAGACTGAAATATTTATAATGATATTTTAATATTTTCGCAATATATAATATGCACTTTGGACTACATGTTGACGGGGAAGATTAGCACAAATATGGACGAGAAGGAACATCGGGGACCAAACAATGTAGCCACAGAATATGAAAGACCCAAGTGGAGCGGAAGCTGAATTCCAGGCCAGGTTTGATTCGGCGGTGGCTTCACAAAATTATGACCTGATGTTGCATGGAGATTGCTCAATCCATGGACGAGCGGCATCACAATAACTTCAGATACAATGATAGAGTAAGCTGAGTGCAAATATCGAACACTGTCACCAACTTACATCCTCTGATCTTCATTGTGTACGACCGCGCATGAAATTGGTGGCCTTGGAGTACGAGTGACTGCACAACTGCACACCACACTCTGCCCAATCTGCTCGACAGCATCAATGTCTCTAGAGCATAATCCAAAGTGGATCATGACACACACAAAAAGAACGCGACTTCCAGAAGATTATATCATGAGCATATCCTAGATAGAGCATGGAAGGAAGGTTTTCAAGTACGGAGACGCATCCTCAATGAATGACGTGAGCCTGAGAGGTGGAGGGACTTTCTCATCTCGCCACTAGTGCCAAATGGCGTAGTGAGTTTAGGGGTCCGCTTCAATACGAAAATTTTGTACCTGATCATTATGGCAGAATATGTGAACAAAGCAATGAAGTCAGTGGTAGTTCCCGAGATGGCAAATGAAGGGGACGGACACAAGGGACCGGGGCTCCTTCCTTCGGGGAACTTTGGAATGATGCCCGTCAATTATGGCACTAGGATATATAGGTGACATGATTAAACGTAAATGGTGTTTGAGAGGCACATCTTACGTACACAAGAGCTGACATTTGTGTTGTGTAAGGTGTGGCAGGCTCACTGGACTAGAGAAGTCGAGCCCAGCTGACAGTTTGCCTCGTTTAATGATGTGTGTCACACGTTGAAAATAAAAGTGTCGGCGGTCTAGAGGTAAATGTCGTTCATCATACAGACACGCTCGTTGGTAAGCCAGTTGAATGGCAACAACCTTTCTTCACCGATCACACTGCATTCTCCGATGAATGAGTTCGGAATTTCAAATTGGAAGTCGACCTTCTGTTCTGTTGTAGTATTTTCTTCCCCAAGAGGAGAGAGCAAACAAGCTTGTTCACTCCTTCTAGTCAGCCATAGGCTCAACAGATGAGGTGTGGAGCTGGAAACCGCCGGCATTTCTGCAAGATGAGTCCTTGTATCGGACATACGAACAGAGGCTATGAGCCATACTGATGATGAGAAGTGACTACATCAGACCATTCAAGCTGTACAGATGGGGGGAAATGTTCGATGTCACAGAGGTGTAATGGTTCAGTGTCTCATTCATCGGCAAACTGTGTCTGGTCTAACATACATTAGACTCGTTGAAAAAATTGGGCAGTACGTTTGAAACTGCCAGGTGTGAAATACCAACCGCCACCTGCTGGGTCCATGGACAGACAGTCATGACAGACAGACAGGTCTGGGTGTACCACATTGTGAGGGGAAACACGAACCGCCACAAAAAGTATGATAGAAGCTTCAAGTCAAAATTCTCAACCCGCCTCCTCTACACGCACACTGTGAGCTGTACAATGATCTGATGCACCAGAGAACACGTACAATGTGTAGATTTGGACTGGGCACAATTCTGGGTTCTGATAAGCGAGGAAGTGGACTGTGACAACGTCTGCTCGCCCATCTTTCGAGACTGATGTCTGGAATGATTGTGCTAATAAGAAGAATTTATAACTCCTGGCAGAGGAAAAGTATGCGCAGAATGCATGACCTGTTGCACGTATATGGTTCCGTGCGACTCGGCCTGCTTCGCGAGGTGAGGGATCATACGTTCAGAGAATGCTGACGATCAATGACTAACCGAAGACCTTTTGGCACTCCTTACAAGCTTGCCCACAATAAATGACCACACTTCCCAGCAGATCACCACTTCCAGCAATCCAGAAAACAATTTCTGGCAGACCGCTTTTGTCTGCTGAGCAGTGTTCTCTTCCTGTTCATCCAGCCCTGGCACAGAAAAGTAAAAAAATTGTACAGTGACACCCGGCTATTACGCATGGGGTTTGAGAAGTGGTGCACATCATATTCACTAATCTGGATTTGGCATCCAATAAATCATCATAAATTCAAGACAGCTTTGACCTTCAAGCCTCGCTTCAACGTTGAAAGAATGTTCTTTATGTTTGACTTCAGTCTTGCATCTTTAAGATAGATTACATCAACATTATTGCAAACTCTGGAAAGGAGATATATAAATTATTTTTCTGCCAAATCAAAACAATAGTTGAATCGACCAAATCTCGGGATAGAATCCTCCACTCCTGGACATAATGTCCAGTCGTTGAATGTAGTTCAAATAAATATCCTGATTCACAGCAGAGATGCTTCTCCGCAAAGACCACGCCAAAGGAGACCTCCTCAGGACATTCAGTCTCCTTCGTGGACTCAACTACTGTTACATTCGATGCTCCTGAAACACAACCTTCACACGTGGCGTGTTCTCTGTTTCTCTCTCTTGAAGGTATGTCTCCCTGATGACAAACGCTGAAAGAGACTAGCCCGACTCTCCTTCGGTAAGATACTTCATATCTCCCAAGGATGAGCAACGGTGTGATTGCTGAATCTAGATGTGGGACCTCACGATTGACATCATCAAGAAGTGGCTGCATTCTGCGCTGACAAGTCACTATGACTTGTTATACATGTTAAACTGCGTTGCACCACGTTCTGTGTATGACACCCTCCTCTTTGAACTCCGGTCGCTTTTTAGAGGTCGGTAGCTCAACGATTCTTTCCTCATGTTGTGCAATCGCTCTCTGTATACGCTTTGCTGCTAGATCTGTCGTCAGCTCAACCCTGAAATCAGTGGAAGCCTATCGATGCGTCCAATTGGTCGCAACGTGTAAACCTCGACTGTTGTCAGGTCGTACCAACCAAGCTGACTCTGATCTCGAGTCAAAATACATACGTGTCCTCGGAGGCCTCTCCATTGCAGGACGGGAGTATACAAACCCCATAGCTTATTGGATAAGCAAAGCACAGATCTGAGTTCGGATGACCATCACGAGATACCCACGCTAGATACCAAGGTGTGCTCAGTTGGAGAGCACTGACCATGTCCAAAGATTCCAGCTCTTCCATAAAATCTTCTTTACCTCCTGTAAAGACCGGAGCTTTGCAAAACTTTGCTATACTCTGTAAGTACTCGTGATTTTTTTACCAGGTCCCACATTCGGCCAGCATTTCTCAGCCACTCTCTCTCGGTTAATGGTCTACTGAATGGTCGTCGAGGCAAAGAAAGAATCTGAAAAACAACACAAGTTTCAGTAAACCTAATCTGCAGGTACGATACTAAAATCCTCATCTTACCAAAAATTAAAATTAAAATTAACCTGATTTCGAAGCTTTCCCAACATGGCCATATAACTCTCATGATGATTTCGTGTGGTTTCATCCGGCACCCTTAAAGGCAGCACAAATGTGTTAACATCCCCGTCCAATTTCCCCTCATCAATATTCTTTTCTCCTTTGTCCTCGCCATCCTGCAGACATGTACTCAGCTGGTGAGCTTTTCAGGACCTTCCATGAACTGTTGACATTTGCATGTTATGTAAAAGAACTGATGATTCACGTGGCGTTCTAATCTATATCTTAATTCCAAACAAATGGTTCACAAGGTATCAGCATCTTATAACGCACAGACCTTTCCGACTGTGCGGATTCCACCTTGAACCTTGCCGAGGTTGGGGGTCCGACCTGACAAGGAGATAACTCCATTCTCACCACGTGGAGCCACTCTCTCCTTTTCCAAAAAATCACCATTTGAAAAGTGAGGTCGGACTGCATGAGACTGAGGAGGTCTATACTTGACTAGAGATTTTTTCCTAAAAGCTGGCGAAGGGAAGAAGAGAGAAAGTGCCCTTTCCAACCGCAATATCTCTGGCAAGGAACATTCTTGTTTACGGAGCCTGCGACAAGTACTAATCTGGTTAGTCCACTTTTAATTTGACTTAAGATACACTCACATTAGACAAAGACAGGCATTGCGTATAGATGTTAGATTGAAAAGGCAACGAAACGATTTGATCCTACCTATTGACAAATAAAATCACATTGAATGCTTCACTTCGTGCACAAGGTATACAGTATGTGGCAGACAAGAAGATGAATACTAGAAGGATAATACACAAATGAGAGGAAATGGTGGATAAACTTAGATAATCACGTACTTAGTGTGAACAAATATCACGTCAGAAAAAAATTCAGGTTCATCATCGATGATTGTTTCGATGTCATCTTTTTCAAAAGAGGAAATTTGGCCGGAGGGAAGTGTACTAGGATCTGGAATCCCCTGCTTTAACATCTCTACCTGTCATTATAAACGGGCCATATGTTGTCAATTCAAAGCTTCGCATCAGCTGCATTTTGGAGCCAGCAAAACCTAGTGGCTTCAGCAAAAACTACGAGAAAAGTACAATCTTCTATTGCTTTAATGTGTGACGACGAGCTGGAGTGTTAAGAAGGGATATACAGTTTGCATCAGTCGCCACATGCTGATATCATGGACTCCTTCCGTCACCACTAGCAACACATGGCACACAGAGCAGAGGAAAACGCCAAGCTACAAAAACCACATCAAACGAACCACAGCACACGTAAACGACAATACTTCAATTGTTTCACATCTCAAAACCTGATAAAAAACTCAAACACGATTAGAGAGCATCACTTGTCAATTAAGACTTGCACTTTTTTTGTGGCATTGTATTGTGCGCAGTAAGCACACAATACAATGTTGACTTCGGACATGTGGTCGAGGAAAGGCTACCTGAAGACCCATTAACTCATGGGCCAACTCTGCTGATAAAGCATCACCACCAAGCACAGAAATATTGGAGAAACCGTCGGAGCGCATGAGGTCCATGAGCACAGAGGCACTGAAAACAGGCTGCATCAAATTGAAGGGTTTGCATATCCCAAATATTTGAATCATTCTGCCAGTTTGTAAAACTAAAGCCCACCTTTCAATTAAGCGCAAAGTGAAACATACAAAGCGAAGAAAGACAGAGACGAAGACTTCGAAGAGATTGAAAATCCTTAATGGTTAGATGTCTTCTCAGAACTCACCATGTGCGGACTGTCATTCTATGTAAAGCTAAAACTATATACGACCTGATTTTGGAATGCTTCCCATATTGAGATCGTCAGTGGGAAGAGCTGAATAAAACTGCGGTCATTAGTATGTGCCTGTCATACCCTAAAGACTACGGAGCCCACGCCCAGTCAAAGATGTTATGGTTTCTAACTGAAGAATAAATATCACTTTACAAAGCATTGGCAGGTGGGTCATCGATTGGTAAACGACTTGAATTGATATATGTTGTGTCAAAAATGAAGATGAAATATCCTTACAGTGGAGTTCTTTGATTTCGATCTCTTTGCTTGTATACTCACTTGACAATCGAGCAGAATAAAACGCTCAGCCGACATCCGGAGCTCGATACCAACAGAGCAATGTTTGGCAGCAGCTTTGATGTCCTCTGTCTGGGTAGGAAAAGGGGGCAGCACACCTGTTTCAATGCATTCAACTCTAATTGGTACTCTGTGAAACTCTATAAAATGTTGGTAAAGAAGATGATCTGTTGAGTTTAGATAACAAACTTTCGTGGCTGGAGACAAAATTGAAACCTAACCCAAAACAGACAAGGTGAAAAATTATCGTATCTGTACAATGAAAATAAAGAAGTGAAAACTTTGTACAATCGAGAAAAAATGGGCCAATAAGATGTTGACAGCTTTGCAAAGTTCCTGTTGATTATTCTCTTTTCTCCAGCCCTAAAATGCAATAGATGATGACAACCAACCAGTTGTGGTTCCGTCAAAGCCATACAGCTCGTTCATTATCGTCGACTTTCCAACTCCCGGAGGTCCCAAAACACCAACTACGGTAAAATCCGTATTTTCTGACATAAGCTGTGACAAACGCATCAGTAATATTTCGAAGTTGATGAATAGCTTGCACACCGCAAGCACAAACTAGACGTCTAATTAATGAATATCGTGCATACAGAGAGAGCCAGGACGAGCAGAATTGTCGGCACGAATATACCTTAAGCTACATTACTGACTGCTTTGATCATGATTAAAAAAGAACGAAAGAACTTGATTGCAAGTCCATCTCACATATCATGCGAAAATTAGCGAAGCAGATCCGAGGATTGGAGAAAATTCAAACAGTATATCATCGCATTCTAAAGTATATTATGATCCAGAGGAATGGATAATCGCACCGGAAGCAACCGATCAGAATTAAAATCCCATGAGTCGAGCAAAAGATTGAGAGAACCATGAGGCAACCGCGCTCGAGCCGCATTGTCTTCATCACGATCTCTCATCAACTTCACGGCACCCCCGACTCCAGTAGCACCCACAGTTCCACCTTCAGGTCGAGGAGTGATGGGCTTTGCCAGTAGGATCTTAGGCCCTCCACCTGAAGGCCCAGTGCCTGATGAACCGATGCCAGCCATGTCTCATACGATCGATTCACTTCCACAACACAAAACTAGAAATCCTGTAAGCATAGGCCAGCGAATCCAGAATTTTTTCGCGATAAGTACATGTCTTCACGTTGGCAGAGATAACTTTAAAAAAAATGACCTCCTCGATAAATTTCTGACCACACACTCCCGAATTGACGAATTCCTCGTACTGCAAGCCTTCCAAAATCCTTGTGCAGACATTATTCCTCTTCGACAGGTCACAAAATCATCCAATCGCTCCATTGAGCATCAGACACATCGAGAGTCCGCGCAGCGCATCGAAGAAACCCCAACCAAAGGTGTAACTTTTGGTTCGAACCTCAATGGACAGTCAAACCAGTTCCAGAATTCCTGTACGTCCTTTCTCCTATTCGTCCCTTTCTCATCGTCGGTAGATGTGGCAGATGCTGTCATACTGTATTTGGTCTATGAAAATCTAATCAGACTAGGTTCAACAATCGAAGCATGAGAACTCCAAAGTACATGAAAGATGTGCGAGAATCAATCCGTTCATGGTTCGAGGGCCACGCCTGCTCTGTTTGAGAAGGGTTTATGGCAACGGATAAGGGGCTTAATTCTAAACCAAGCCAATTGTTTGCGTTATATCGTTTGCCATTTTCCATTCTTCTCATTCTCATTTGCTCCTTACAATACCAGAGTACCTTGGCCAAGAAATGTGTCTCTATTAAATACGTTATAGTTTTTGTTTTGTAGATCTACAAAGTACATCAGATCTATTAACTTTCATGAGCATGATGCGCATTTTGGCAAATAAGGGATATCCGACTCTTACAAAATGAACTTACTTAACATTTTATTTTCGCAAAGCAAATCAACGCTTTTCATGTCATCTTTTCTATCATTTTAGGATTAATTATTCGTACATTTGATGTTTTGTATCACGACAGATATTGTGTCTTTGGAGCAGTTTCTATTATGTCGAGAAGTGTATGTTGCAAAAGATTCATTGTTGGAAGTGATGTGGATTCTATGCAAATGAATCCACTGAACGAATCCATTGAGGGTCTGTAGATTTTTTTACAACATCCATTCATAAATTTCTTGTCAAACTCCTTCTCAGATCCCTTCAAGCATGTTTATACATTTATTTCTACCAAAATTAGATCGTTGTCAAGAAATTTATGCTGCAATCTAGAGAGAGCAAGATGAGAGAGAAAACAATTATTTCTAATGATTGTTAACAATTACGACCTGGTCTTTGATTGCAGTTCTCATTTGATTTTCAAGTGAGAACTGCACCAAAAAACACAGACCATGACCCAGATTTTACCTGACTTTTAGACAAACGGGAGACATAACTAGCCAAATGTAAGGAGAAGCTCGTTCAAATACATCGTACTAGACATGCTGGATCGGAGTATGCCCGCAGTCTTAGGAACTTATGATGTACAATGAGGAGTGGAGATTAAAACAAGCGGGTAACATACTTGAAGAATAAAACCAAGAAAATAACATCGATTCAATTGTTTGAAAATTATGCGAGTATCATTTCGAGGATCCAGGAACCCTGAAGTAAGAATCTCGTATCGTGAATAGGCTATTTATCTTTCACAGAGAAGCTTTTTCATCCGTGTCTGGACATAAGTCTTCTGTAAGAGAAGCACCAGTGGAGCTATGTCCAACTCCAATTCGAAGGGCACAAAAACTAAATCGCCGCTACCATGTTATTATCTGTTATAAAAGACACACAGGTCTATCATTACAAACATGTTTGTGATATGAATTTACAGCTTCCACTGCAATTTTTTTATTCTGTTAGGTCTCATCCTCTCGTGACGGAAAGAGATGGTCATATACATTCACGAGAAGATCCGATATTGTGCGTTGAATGAACACACAGGCAGAATATATAAAAACCTAAAAGTATTTTGGACACTTCATAAAGAGAACAAGCTTGACGTCCTTACCTTCAAGTCCTTTACATAGATACATACTAAAATACAATTCAAAAGTGAATAAGTTTTTATCTTACATCTGTCTCACAAATAACAACAGAGAGAAGTTAAAGGTTAGAAAAAATAATTTGATTTTAATTCCAAGCACTTAAAAAAGGTCTCATTCATAAAAAAATTTGCAAGTGAACAAAGCGGACAAAAATTTCACATAGTGTTCTTATTGCTTTGAATTTGATTCAGAGGTCAATTTATAAATTTAAACATTATTTGAAATGATATTTTTTGTGTAACCAAAGTATGATATTGGTCGAAATGCTTGAAAATTGGAGTTCATGGCATGTAATAGTACCAAGCTTAGCAAAAATTTTACCTTATGCTATTTGATATTATAAAGCTGAATTTAAGAACATTATATATAATTATGGATTTTGCATGAATCATATATACTCTAACTTTCACATCTCTTCAGTATATATTTGCCGTTAAAATCAACACTAGATACATAGATTTTCTTCTTATATGGTTCAAGGTAGTTTGGGATCGTTCATTAAGTATATATTTTATAGATTAAAATTAGAAAGATTTGAGAATATAATCATTCTTTACTAAAAAAATTTATGTAAAAAATGACATATATTATGAAGATAATCATAAAGATGTTCAAAATTCTTGTTAAGTTTGTTAGGACTTTAGAATTTGAGTTGAATATTTTAGAAATTTAGTGCAAAATATTCAATACTTATGAACTCCCGTTGCTTAAGAGAACCCAAGCGATGGTATTCATTGCGGTTTTCACACTTCATCCCTGGTCCAACCGATTTTCCATTTCATCTTACTTGTCTGGTAGGATTCATCATCGTAAGTCAAGCTCTCCAACGGCCAAGTCAAATCCTGGGGGACTGGAAGCAGTATAACATGGTGAGTTTCGCTTCAAGTCGGCGAATTCAGCTTCACAGTTCGGGTTCTACTTCAATCAATCGTGTTGTGTCCTCCAGGCAAATCCTGACCGTGAGGAAATTGTACAGTACACCTCAATAGGACTCTTTGACCGATCACTTTGAAGACTTTCATAACGCTCTTTGGTATGTTGATGTGTACGGCGCTGTGTGATTGATATATAATTAAGTCACGAGGATAGATTTGTAGGCCGTGAAAATATTCTGTCAACAACTCAATATACTGTTGTACAAATCGATCTATCCAGACATATAACGAGACCAATCCGACGGCATCCAGGAGCCGATTCCTTCTCAAAGAACTGTAGGTCGAAGTGTCTCTCTCGTCGGACGGATGCCAGAGTCCTCGCGGTTAACATCTTTATGTCACAGTTGGCGATTATCAGCATAAACGGTACGATATACAGTTCTAACCTAAATCTTTGTTCTTTCCACGTCCGCAGCTTTTCTCAGCCATCTCATCCTCAACTAAGTGCAGAGCGCCGACGTGGCGCAGCCTTACGCCTGCACTTTGATGACAAGAGTGCCCGGTCACTTCTTACCGTCACTCCTCCTGCCACGCTGGCCTGGGCACTAGAAAATGTTATGGTGGCTTTTGTGGTCAGATCCTCTAGAATTTGGCAGTCCCGTACGTCCGTAATATACATCGCTCGTCACTCACTGCTCACTAGATCATATGTGTATGACATGGTTCCTTTGTCGACTCTGGGTCGTCTGTCTAAGTCTCCAATCATGCATTACCCGTTTGGGTGGAGTCAGAGCAGATGTGAAGTTTTGTTTGTTGTGTACCTTGTCAGCAACCCGCCGCTTCTTTGGAAGCGAGTTGAATATGCCGGTGGGTGTTCTTTATTCGGGTTATCTTGCTCAAGGTAGCCCATAAGAGTTGATTGGAATTATAGACTGACTTACAGTTCGTTTGCAGAGAATTGCTCTATCAAGTGTTGTATTGTGAGGTTTAGGTGCCGGCTGCTTCATGGTGTTTGTACGTTATGAGGTGAATTACATAGTACGTTCGTCTCGCGCACAGGGAGAATTAAGAAGAAATTGGAAGGGAGGACGGGAAGATGTGCTGCATTTTGATTTCTTCGCGGATAGCATTCCCTGTGGTAGATTACCGTATTTCTTGCTGTCCTATTATAATTCTAGCCTTTTTTTCTCCTGCAGGTGCTGTTGTGCGGATGAAATGATGATGGATATATGATGTGTTCCCTGCTCAGCGTTGGAATTTTGAATGAAGGCCGAATCTCTCAGCCGATTATGATGCACTAGGAAACGTTTTTGTTCCCTGTACTGAAGTTGCACCTATCACTTCAGCTGGGCATAAGTGGTGGACGCCGCGCATGGTTTATTATATACGCAGCAAGAGCCAACGAATTCTCCGTGAACTTCTAGAAGTAAAATCATATTGAAAATGTAAACTTCTTGGTTAGAGTATGCTCTCTTGCTAGAACACGAGAGCTTGCTTGCAGATTCTGTACATCCAAGCATCTGCTCGCAGATTCTGATTTGAAGAACTTGTCGTACACGGCCGTGGTTTCTAGTACGTTGTTCCTTTTTTGGAGCTTTGATAATATAGATCATAGATTCTTGATGTCGATACTGGATAATCAGGAGCTCTCGAGTTGGAGAAGGCGAGGATTCTTTAAGAGAAAAATCCCTTTCTATCGTCCCTTCGAGACTTGTTGGAGACAGCACAAATCTTTCGATCGAGGGCAAGTGCCCTCGATCGAAATTCTGAGTATGTGATAAGTCTCATGGTGAGAACCCTCAACTGTCTTCCTTAACTTCTCTTAGCTTAAACCCCGTTTGAGACAAAAGCATATATATGATTAGCGTAGCGTGCAGTATTTTTCTTGTTGAATCTAAAATATGGGTTTGAGTAAAAAATATCAGCATTTGGTTTTGTGTCGATCTTGAGTCAGTCTATAGAGGTGATCTTTGGAGAAGCCAAATGCTCAGTACCGAGCCAGCCTCTTATTTATTGTTACATCCTTGAAACTTTTCACGGTATAAGTGACACATGTTCATTTGTACAATCTGGCACGCTGTAAATCTATGGAGACACCAAAATTCTTGAGTTTTGATTTTTTCCTGTACTCTTGGATCACATAACCAACGAATTTCACGTATGTTAGTGAGGCAGATCATGATCGTCAGGTTTGTTTTATATGTGATGGAGTAGTTTTCAAAGATCTGAGAAAAGTCTCTCCCTGATACATAGATTACTCTTCTAAGGGTCAACATTGAGTTTAGGAACCGAGGGTTGAAATTGTTCAAAGGATTTTAGGGACCTTATCACTGGACCTTGCACAAATCTAGAGTTTTGATTGAGCTCATTATCGTTTTTCTGTCTTTGCAGAAGCGCACTGCTGCAATGGACCCGAACTTGGTACCCAATTTTTCGTCACCTGCACAAGAACCGATGATCCTTCCCTTGTACGTCCACCCTTACAGCTATCTGCAAGCGGCTGGTGTCAGCCAGCCTCCTCTCTCCAAAAGGGGGGTAGCCCAAGAAAATAACATAAGGAAGTCAATGTCTCCAAATGAAGATAGTGGAAAGACTGGAAGTCGGTGGACGTCACACAAGAAAGAGACCTGTCGGTGTGCAGTTTGTAAACAAGTGAGAGGAGAACTTTCTAGCACTTGGTTCAATCACGACAAGTCCAAATGTGCATGCTCTGTATGCAAACAAGCAAGAGGCGAAAAAAGGTCAGTGGAGCGGAAATCTAACAAAGGGTTGAAAGTCAAAACTTCATCAATTTCTAAGAGAATGTGGAGATTGGCTGGCATGGCCTTGCCGCCTAAGAGGAATGCAGACCTTACTGAGACAGGTATTTCCCAAGTTTCAGATAAATTGAGCGTAACTCAGTTGGCTAATGCCCCTTCGGCAGAATCTTCAGCAGAGTCTTCGAGCTTGAATCGGATGTTTTCCATCAATCAGTCCAACATGTTTGGAGCTGTTGCAAGTACAAGTGGTGGGACATCGAGTTCTGGTAGCAATTTCGGCTATCCAAATAAGAATGTTTCAAGGATTACAGAGGACTCCACCTTAGGGAGGTTTTCCAATCTTAGATCTCTCTTTGATGACATACAAACAGCAGTCATGGAGTCGTCAGTAAATATTTCGAAGTTGACTCCAAGTGTTCAGAGCAGTCAGCCAGTACAGCCGGGTACATCAAGATTCAGCTGGAAGACTTGGGCGCCATATGCTGAGAGCCAATCAGACATTAGTTTTCAGCCCATTCTACAGGCTTCGGATATTTCTGTCCTCCAAAGGCCTGGAGAACGGATGGATGTTTCAAAGGTGGATAACGATTTTGCTTTGGGCGTCGAGTGTTCAAGTACGACATCTGTTGTTTCTCACAGTCAGTTTGCCGACAGAACGAGTTTGACTTCAGTTTCGGTCTCTGACGGCAACTCGGACATTCCTTCTCAAGTTGCCCCAAAAATCACAGATCCATCTTGGACAAGCAGGTTGTCAGATCCAGTACAGCCGGGTACATCAAGATTCAGCTGGAAGACTTGGGCGCCATATGCTGAGAGCCAATCAGACATTACTTTTCAGCCCATTCTACAGGCCTCGGATATTTCTGTCCTCCAAAGGCCTGGAGAACGGATGGATGTTTCAAAGGTGGATAACGATTTTGCTTCGGGCGTCGAGTGTTCAAGTACGACATCTGTTGTTTCTCACAGTCAGTTTGCCGATAGAACGAGTTTGACTTCAGTTTCAATCTCTGACGGCAACTCGGACATTCCTTGTCAAGTTGCCCCAAAAATCACAGATCCGTCTTGGACAAGCAGGTTGTCAGATCCGGAAGTCAGTCTAGGTGGATCGCCAAGTTTTCTCGATGACTTCTTGCCGGAGTCATCAAGTGTAACTACATTTTTCTCAAGAGATCAACTAGACATGGAAATATCATCACTGAAGTGGAGTGCAGGCCCTTCAATATCTGAGAGTGAGAACCCTTCTCCTAGGGTATCTAACTTGCAGATATCAAAAGATTCCGGCATATATGAGTCACTGATTTCGACATATTTACCAAACGCTCTCCACGTGATTGTCCAAGAGCCTGGACTTGTCACCAGTAGGAAGAAGAGAAAAAAGGTGTTGTGTACTTCGGATAGAAACACACGTGGATGTGATCGCTGTGCGGATAGAACGCCTGGCTTGAACCAATCATGTGAATCACATTTGGAGTGCATACAGTGCACTTCATATCGTACACGGAAGGATATGTTGAGTTCTCGGATGCAGATAACAAGATCATTGTCAGGAAGATTGCATGATGGGTGGCCTTGTTCTCATATATCAGGTATGTTAGCTTCCTGGAAGCTTTTATCCTTGAAAGCAGTGGTCGGCTTCTAGCATGCATAACAGGATTTCCTTGAGCCTAAACTTCAGGATAGAACAATCTTATTTCATAGTGGAGTTCTTTCTAAAATTGCGGGACCTATGAGCTCATATTAATTTCATTCATTATCTATCTTACCTTGTAAGAGCCAAGTTTTTATTGATTAGTCGGGAGCAAGTGTGTAGTGAAATCGACGCATAGTAGTGACTGGACATAAAGGCCAAAAGCTTTTGAATCTTATGCATTAGTGATAATGACAATGACATTTTGTAACGAAAGATACCGGACGCACTGAGTTGCGATGTTTACATCAAAGTAACAGGATCACGTGCTACTTTTGGAAGAGCCTCTCGAATATGGATCGTGAAATAATTTTTGCTTGTGCTCTATTTGTAGGTTTGAGCCTAAACATCCAAGTTTCCGGTTCCAAACTCGAGTCATTTAAACGGCCAACGAGGTCTTGTCGCAGGTAACTCCATATAATTGTTCTGAAATTGCTATCATTTTCATCTTTACTTAGGTTTGGAGCTATTTTTACTACACAAATTACATTTGTCATCCTCAGAGGTTGACTATGAACCAGTTAAGGGCCTTCATTATAGAGTACATGATCCAATCAACCTACCAGTCTGAACTCCAGTGTCAACCTTCATAGCGACTGGACTAAATATTATGTGGTCGGGGTATTGTCTTCTACGAGAGAAGGTAAGAGTTGATTAATCTGTATGACATGGACATTTGCAGCAACAATCAGATTACGCCTGCAAGCGTGTTTACCATCAGTTTTGCAAGCAGGAGTCAATTCATGGACGTCATACTTTTTTCCAGCACAAATGGATGGGTTAAAAAAATGGTTTCTACCACGCCTTCGGTCTTCAACAAAGAAAAAAACCTGGATGAGTACATGAAGGACGGTTTACATTTGCAAAGTGCCACCCAACACAATAATGAGGGAATATTTGATTCTTACACTATTTTCGGAAAGAATTCAGAGCAGGTACTACATAAGCTTTTCATTGGTTCGAGAGTTGCAATATTTGACATCTACACGTTGTTAAAGCTTTTGGAGCAGGCAGGAAATATTTTGCCTCAAAACATGAAATTGAAGACCTTGAGAGTTGGTAGAGGACGTACGGCATCAGGTCCTTTTAACTACCAGCAATGTCCACACCACTCTCAGCGTAGTTTAGTAGAGGTGCCTTCGCAAAGAGCAGCTGACGTTCGAACTCACAGAAGCCAGAGTGCTCTCCTTTTAGGGGTAGAACCTTGTTCTTTCTCTTCTCCCACTCATTACCGTCGTAATTTGCTTCCCTTTACTTCAGTACCGAACGAGGAGTTCAGTTCTGATTGCGTTCTATTTGTTCTAAGGAATTGGAGCAAATTCAGGTCAGTCCGAACTTCGTATTCGGGTCTTGAAGCTAGTTCTTGCCTTCAATCTCGACATTTACATGACGTGCAAACGCAGATACAGAGAAGAGACTACATGAGAGAACCAGTTACAGAGGAGAGAACATCGGTTCTTGCGATGTCTACACTCTTAGGATTGCCTTGCGTCCAACTCGGTCCCAGAAGTTTAATCGATCATATCTGTTCTGCAAGACCCAACACTTCATGCAGTTGCCTCTCCACTTGTGCTAGAGAGGGTTGTGGATTTAGCTGTACAGATGCTGCTGAAGAAAAGAGTGGGTCTTTAGTGGAGATGGGAGTGACGCCAGAGAAGAAATCAACGAAACGTGGTGACAAGGTCAATGCAGAGGATATAACCTCCTTGCCTGAAGATGATCTCACAGTGCTACAGCGAGGAGCAGGCAAGCGCAAGGATGCAGATCAATGTTCCGACGCAGCAGTTATTCCTCTTGCGAAAAGGATGAGAACTTCGTGGAGAATACCCCCTGTTTCTACCATGTCATCAGGACAGAGTTTGCCGTTTGTGACCGCTAAAACTCTTGGAAATTTCTCAGCTTCAGCTTTCGTTTGTTCACAGAATGCTGCTTCCCAGCCGTCAAAGTCCAAGTCAAATGGAGAACCTGATACTAGATCTCAGGGTGTTTTTTATGATGAGAAGGTTTCGTCTTTGGAAGCTGATAAGCCTGATGATGATCTCCGGAGACAACTCGAACATCTGAGCCCAAGCAAGAGCGATAGACATGGAGCTGTTTCAGCATCTCAAAATTTAAACGCTCTCATGCAGAGGAAGAAACCTCCGACCGCTCATAGCGTGAGGCAAACAGCTCGGTCTACAGTTGAAGCAACGATTGTTCCAGCAAGACATCCTGCACTATTCACAGGTTTGTCATTTCAAGAGCTCTTGAGTTCTGTATCACAAAACCTTACCTTAACTTGTAGAACCACAGGAACTCGTGGAGAAGGTATTTCGAACCAAACAAGCTTCAGTGTAGAGTGTAAGTCTGCTAGCTCTACCAATTTGGAAGCCCAAGGTTTGCAGCGGTTGATTGACACAAGTTCCCATTCATATACCTATCGAGGAGTTTCAAGCTGCAAGCAACTGCAAGATCTAAATACGATCGGAGAAGATTCAAGGTTTGATGCCAAAGAAGTTACAGTCAAAGACATGAAACTTGGTGGGGACACGTCAAACTTCCAGAATGAATCTGCTACCAACATTGCTTCTACCAAGTCGAAAAGATTGGAAGACACCAATGTTCTTGAGCGAGTTGGAGTCCGTTTTGCATATTCAGCAGATAAGAGCACGTCAAACATCAGAAAGGATTCGAAGGTAAGGACGTCAAGCTTGTTCTCTGTATGAAGTTTTCAAAATACTTTTAGGTTTTTAATATTCTGCCTGTGTTCATTCGACGCACAATATCGGATCTTCTCGTGAATGTATATGACCATCTCTTTTCGTAACGACAGGATGAGACCTAACGAAAAAAAAGTTGCAAGGGAAGCTGTAAACTCATATTACAAACATGTTTGTAATGATAGACCTGTTTGTCTTTTATAACAGATAATAACATGGTAACGGCGATTTAGTTTTTGTGCCCTACGAATTGGAGTTAGACATAGCTCCACTGGTGCTTCTCTTACAAAAGACTTATGACCAGACACGGATGAAAAGCTCTTATGTGAAAGATACATAGCCTATTCACGATATGAGATTCTCACTTAAGAGTTCCTGGATCCTCGAAATGATACTCGCTTAATATTCAAATAATCGGATCGATATTTTTTTCTTGGTATCTTCTCTAAGCATGTTACCCGCTTGTTTTAATCTTCACTGCAAAGTTCCTAAGACTGTGTGCATACTCCGATCCAGCATGTCTAGTACGCTGTATTTGAACGAGCTTCTACTTACATTTGGCTAGTTATGTCTTCCCTTCGTCTGAAAAATCAGGTAAAATTTGGGTCATCGTCTGTGTGTTTTTGGTGCAGTTCTCATTTGAAAATCAAAGACCAGGTCTTAATTGTTAACAATCATTAGATATAATTATTTGCTCTCTCATCGTTGAGTTCCTGTGATGCAGACTTGCTTGATATTGTTGCTGCCTAAGTCGGATACCTATTCTATAGCTTTTAAGACTACCGTCTTTTTATAGACAATTGTTATTTACATTGAACAGTATTATATTTATTGGTAGAGTGAATATATTGCTAATTGGGTGGATGGATGACGATGGTTTGACCAATCTGAGATCGTGGATTTGAGATCTGATTCACTTTTTTCTGCTGGGAGTGTTGATTTGATGAACCCTCTTTTGTGGAGGCTGGACAAATACGATCGTTTTGCTTATAAAATGCTAAGGCCTTTTGATTACCTGAATATGTCAAGTTACCGATTCCTACTGAAGAGTACATCATCTGACTATCGAACTGCTCCATTCAGCAACACAGATGTTCCGAGGAAGTGAGCTCTTTCCAAGGAATACAGGAACCCATTCTAGTTGAGGAGTCAATTCCAAGTTACATTCTTGGGCGACAAGACCATGCAGTTCGAGCTGAAGAGTCCTCGACACTTTCTCTTCTTTCAAATTTGATGTACAGACGCGATAAGATCGCAGCACTACTACGGGAGTCCACCCAGGCCGGAGATTTGATGATTCCAGATGAACAGGACGTGGTTGAGGTTGAGGTAAGTTCATATTGCATTTCTGACTACTTTTTTTGGGGCTGAAACTAGTTGCCTGTTTATGTTAAACTTCGTATATAAATATTTGAGTTCACCCAATGAAAAGTATGTGCCAAAAATTCTCCGTATTTATGCCTTCAGAACTTCCGTGTCATGACCTCCAAGCTATATTTCACTTTCTTTTTGTTTTTTTGTTTTAAAAATGTGGTAGTTAGGTTTTATCCCTTTTATCTTCTTCCAGTAATATGGTGAGGGAAACTAGACTTGTTCTTTGAATATGTTGAAGTTCGTACCTGGACACTGCTGGATGCCAAGCAGGAAATCATGATCGTTTTCACGTCAAAGGGTCAACCTGTACTATCTCCTTTTCCTGCACTTGAAAATTTGATTTCCTGAAAGGGATGACCGAATAGCAGGAGGTATGGCTTTGACCGTACCGAAATTGGCTAAGAATGGTGTTGTGAAATTTTTAATATTTTGTTCTTTGTCCAGGCTCTTCAATCAAATGTGCTTGTTGAACAAGAGAAGACAGAATTCCAACATAAGTTGAGTATGTTACTGGAGAAGCCCTTTGATCCGCTGGAACTGGATGATTTAGAGAAATGTATTTGTGTCCGCAAACCACAAATGCGATTGCGAGAATCTCGACAAGAAGTTCGCCATGTCCCATTGAGTAAAGAAGGTTTAAGCTATTTGGAGCATTATCCAGGTACAAAGCTCTTAAGCCATGATTAGTTAATGTCGGTGGTGTCATTAAAGCTAACGAATATGTTTAGACTCGACAACACGTTTTGGCCATGAAAGGTCTATGTTCTCGTTCCGTCATGGTTATTATGAATTTGCCGGAAGCAGATATATATATATATATATATATATATATATATATATATATATATATATTTGTATCCCACCACCTTGCATTCACTATTATCCATCTGATCGTTTAGGCTTATATATCCCTTCCTTCATACTCAATGCTCCTATCGTTTGCTGCGTAGCTCTTCAAACTCTATTAATTCCAAACCGGAGTTGTAACTGTATTTACTTCAAAACCTCTCCCTTTAAGTTTTGATGTGTATACTGGGTCACCGTCAACTGGATTGAAATCCAGCGCGACTACCTCCGACTGAAACTTGAAGTGTCTTGAATTTTTCAAGGCGTTGAAAAGATTAGGAGGTAGCGGGATTTTGATTGGATAAACGCTCACTTTCCACATTGGCTACATCCGATGGATTATTTCCGTGTATATGAAACCCAAGCTTGTACATCCCTCCCTTGGTACCTTCGTGGTACCTGCTAATAGTTCTCCTCCACTTCCACGGTTTTTTCCTGCTAGATCCAGTCTTTTTTATATTTCTATCTGCACCCATTTAGCTTTTGCTCTCAACTGCAGACATCTGCATCATTTTTTCTCTAGGCTGCATTCAAGTAGGTTGCATGTCCATTCTTCACATAAAGCAAATATTGGTTACTTACATGCAGGTGCAGCTAGAACCTTACTGTATTGGCACACCTTTGAATGTCTATCAGAGCCCTCGGCGCTTGGAGTGAGTACTTATGTAGCAAGGTCGAGTACAAGTACTCGATTCTTGCTATATAAGTTAACGACTAAATAGATGATAGTAAATGTAATTAATGATGTGTATTGGCTAAGCTTCTTCTTCATCATCAGAAGACAATCTAATCCCGCCCACGTGTTATCAAGACAGAATTTCGCAGAAAGCTCGAATCTGCCCATGCTTCTGAAGAAAAGCTTAAACTTCTTCGAGGATTTTTCTTCTGGATTCAGGTATAGTTCTATGACGCCAATACGCTGAGACGGTTAACTCTCTTTTGGTTAAGTGGCAAAGTGCGCTTTACAGTGCCTTCTTTTACAATGAGCTGGCATTTTTCCCTCGACTGATCTAGTTTGTATTATCGTTCGTAGTTGGTGTTTAAATAAACTAACGTCAGATATTCAGCATACTTGCATGTCGGGAGCGTTCATGCCATGGGAGGATAAGGAAGAGGACGATGATATTCAGATCCTGGAGGTAAGTTCTACTCAAGTACTTACTTGATGATTTAATCTTACACATCACTCATAAAAGCTAGTAAGAAATATGAATGATCACAGACAAGAGTGTATTCCGACGTTGCATTGAATCTGAATTCATGGAAGAAGTGTGAAGAATGGTTTGATGTTAATGATATGTAATAGCAACGCGAATGTTCTCGCAGGAGAAGGTCGTAAGTAATAGACATATGACCATTGGAAAGTCCACTCGAGTGAAAGGAATTGGAAGGCAGAATAAGTCAGGAGTTGCGGCTGAACGGACTAAAGATGTGAGACCTGTAAACGTCATGCATATGTCACTGAGAGCAAGGAAAAAGACGGTCTATGAAAAGACTAGTAAGCCCCAAAGAGCGAAAAAAAATGCACATCAACTTGCAACTACAAAAGTGAAGACCGAAGGCCACGAAGATAATGCATTTGAGACCCTGCGGAAGGTATTCTGTCTCGTACGCTGTGAAGTTGATGTTTTTATATTCAATTATAAGCTGGAGGTTGCTTCAGTTTTCATGTATGCTGTACCTTGTACCTTTAACAAAGTGAGTAACGTATAACCAGCTGAGGTATTGTGTAACTACGTTTGCAGGGAAATTCTGATGTTCGTATAGTTACAGCTCGTAGAGCTAGTTTGACTCAAGTCGAAAGAGTAAGAAAGGGCGGCAAATCGACACGTCGTCAACACAAAGCACGGAAAGTAAGACCATGACCTGCCACTGTGTACGCACCGAAGCTGTCACACATCATTGAAGAGGCTCTCTTTACAGGGAGGTCACTACTCTTGGGTTGTGGAGGGCAACTTTTGAAAATATTTCAATTCGATACCCGATGAAGTGATCGGAAGTGATCGAAGTCGGAAGTTGTCCATTTTGTGGCGAACAAGAAGGTGATTATTGTTCAGCTTGTCAGAAGTTACTGGAACAAGTTTGAAAGCTGCTGTTGTAGATCAAACAAGAGTTTGTCGGGCTCAGCTGTTGGGCGCCTTTCTCCATGTGGATCTGATAATTCATCTTCTCATGTGGAAGTCATCGAGGAAACATTCCAAAACTGTGTTATGCAGGGTAAAAACACGAGGGTGAATTCTTTTGCCAGTGGCGAAGACAACGAGCAACGAAGAACAGTGGACAGTCATAGACTTAGTCTTAGTGCAGTTGTAATGTACACTACAGTAAATCATAGAGCCAATAACCAGATGTGTAAATTACCAACCCAATATATATGTCATCAGTATATATTGAGTCCGACTGGTTATTCTTGACGATCCCAGAACAAAGGGGATCTTCTTCACACATAGGAGTTCAGCTTTTGACTCTATACGAGGTCAACGGTTTCATATCGTCTTATTTGATCTGTTAGTATCCGTCGTAGATATTAGGATACATCTCGCACGTGTCGTTGCAAGGCAAAGTTAGAAGTATCTGAGTGGGAAGTACATAACCGTATGAAATAGGAGAACACTGGTGATCATTTGTTCTCTATGGAGTGGAAATCTTGTACAGAGTAAAAATACAAATGAGGTCCATCAAAAACCTCTCTTTTGTTTATCGAATCTTTTGGTTAAGTGTTCTTACTCCACAAGTTTTCAACTCAGAAAAGAACATTATTTGTATTTTAGTCAGGGCGAAAATATGCGGAGTACGCATTTGGTATACATTTTCTTGCGTCAAAAAAGAAGATTACGAACAACTCCCATAGTGGGTTTATTCTCCCTTTCTTCTATTATTGCAAAGAGTGAAGATCCACTGCCAGGTTTGTACTTGAGATACGCAACAGTCCATGCTGTTTTGTTGTATACATGCCACGAGTTGGAAGTGTGGTGGACTGTGAAATTTATTTGCCAAGTGATGATAACTAGCATGTTCATAGAATGTTGAGATTAATTTCATGTTTTATTTTTGCATACTTTCCAGAATACTGTCAGTCAGTTAAGTTAATGATCGTTTAAAGACCACAGTTATATCCAAGTAGGGTCATTAGATAGTGTTGTGAAGTAGTTAGTTGACACATCAAATGCTATGAGTTTTATACATTCATGATGATGTATTTACCACAAAACATAAACCTCTCATAGAACATAAGAAGTTTTTATGTTTCCTTCAATTTGAGCTTCACTTTCAACAAGTAAGAGTACATATGAAAGAGAAACCTCCAGATATATGTTGTTTGGAGAAATTTCAATCAACATTTATTTATGAAAAATTACTACTCCGGTGAGCCTACTTTGATATGTGTATATGGCAATAATTATTGCTATTTTCGAATGCATGTTTAACGCTGCAATTACACTTAAATTGGTAAAAGAGTTATGAAGACCACATTTTTCAATAGTATAGATAAAATAGCTATAGAGTTAAAAGTTACTCATCATCATGCATCAATATTTCACGCAGATGATGTGGAAGATATCAACGTTATCTTTACACGCAACAATCTGATAAGCATGTGTCATATCTCACATGAGTCATAAAGAAGTCTATTTTTCGCAGTCTCAATTTGCTTGCTCTCGACAACGAAACATACTAGTCCCCAATGTCGAGCTTGAATATTACTAAGCACCTCTGCTCTGCTCTTGGGGTTCCGCTTGTGACATCAGAGGCTTCCCCTCCAGTGAAACCTTAATTCTTTACATGATACCGATGGTGATTTCAAACGGTCCTTCGCCGAAGACTTCACACGGTGTACACCCCATGACAAGAACATGACCGGCAGTCGGAGTACAGTACATCGGTTTTCTTCTCCTGGATGTCCGCCAGACGAAGGCGTTTCAGACCCTCGATCAGCCAAATGTTAGTCAAGAGTAGCGGGTCACAAAATGCTGAATTTTTTTTTTGACTCTGTGAGTCAGCATAAATTATATCTTATGAAAAAATGAGACATGAGTTGTCGATGTCGGCCCCTCTAAAGTAACGGCGGAGATAGGCTTGGTAGAGAGTTCGGGCCGCGAACATACTCCTAGGACAGAGCAGCGTCTACTCCGGGCAACAGAACCACGTAAGCCTGCAAAGCAGGCTACATGGGACCAACAAGAGTCTTCCAAAGTTGGGACCGAGGAGTTGGCGGAGAGGTCGTCAAGATACAGATTTGACCGCAAGAGGACAAAACCAAATTCCGCACGTGCGCAACCCTCAACTGATCGGCCCAATCATCGAGGAGGCCCGACGACGGGGATCCAAGTAGGACAAGAATCCAAAAGCAGGCGGTCTTTCCGTCCAGTTTGTTGGAAAGGGTGGGGCACCAGGCGGACGCTTGTCGTACTCGGACTCGGACGGGAAGGTTCGGCAGTTCCATATCCTTTAGGCTTGGGGAGCACGGCTCCGGGATGGGGAGGGGGAGCGTCGCGAAATCCTCCTGCTCCGCCGGGAAACTAATCCCGGTGTACATCCGGCTCATTTAAGATAGAAGCTCTAGTGAGGCATCCCGGCAAGTTACCGGGCCAGGGTCCGGGGAATTCAGGCCAAGCTTCGCCATGACGCTTCCATTGCGGAGGCTTCGTAGACTACAAGTTTGATGGCTCGGCCTGGCCTGGCCTTGGCCTCGGCCTCAAGTCAAGCCCGGAGCTGTTCGCGAGCTGGTGACGCAAGCCGGTCCGGTAACCAAGGTGGTGAGTGTCTCGGACCACTCCGAGTTACGGTTACGATTATGCGTCACTGTGAAGCGAGAGTTGAGTCGGCCCATGTTTGAAGAACATAGACTCTCGATACTCGGCAAGCTTCGGTCGCGTGGGTTGCCAGGAGGACGTGGAGTACGAGGAGTACGAGGTTCCCCGAGTTTTACAAGAACTTGTAGAATAGCACCACCGGTTCCGTAACCTCGGACGGGGAACGACGATCGAGTAAACGTGGATAAGTAGAGGGTCCGATCGGGTAAATGTGCTGGCGCAGTAAGTACAGCAGAGAGAGAGAGAGAGAGAGAGCGAAGGCAACGAGGAGGTGGAGGAGGAAGAAGAAGAGGAAAAGAATGGCATGAGGAGGAGAGAAGGAGGAGGAGGAGGAGCAGGAAGAGGAGAGGATTGTCGTCAAAACATGAGCAGAAAGAAAGGAGGGGAAGAGGAGAGCTCTGGTTGTGTTTGCCGCATTTCGCCCACCTCGCCTTGCATCCCAGCTCGTGCGATTTAGCGCTTGGATTCGTGCCTGTCTGTGTTGTTTGCCAGTGGTATCACGAATCTTGCTATTCTGCCGGTTCCAGGCACCGCGCCCCAGGTGAGAGTGATAGAGAGAGAGAGAATGAGAATGGCATCGGAGCACGAATTTAAGGCTCATCGAAGCCGGGACCAGCAGCTAGCTGCGCATGAACGCTTTCTCGTGCGTCTCTGCGATTTTACTGTTTGTGGGGTCATGAGGGTTTTGTGGGCCGTCGGACGGTGTTTGTGGTTAACAGTGGTTAAAACTAAGTTCAAGAAAGTGGGAGCTTCGGAGCAGCTGATGATTCGGGGTTGTCATAAGTCCACCTGTTGTGACGTCGCGGATGACGACGTGTGGGATGCAGGGTTTCTTTCGGTTGTTCGTGGTCCCCGTTCAAGTGGGTTTGGGATTTCGTTTCCGGTCGTGCTTAGGCTGGGCTCTAAACCCGGACTGCTGTGTTTGCTTTTCTGAAATGCAGCGGCAAACAATGCTGGAGGTTCTGTCGAGGTTTTGAGAAGTGTTTGAAAATGGCTGAGGCCGGGCAAGTCGAGGCGGCCAGGCAAGCTGTTGTGGTGGCCTTAGATTGGACCTCTTCCGCTGATGCTCGCCAAGCTGCCACTGCTTACCTTGAATCGGTAAGCAACGAAATATGCTGCTATCCGTCGCCCGATTGCATTGGTTGACGGAATGTGGGCTTCTGATCGAATTCTTTCCACTCGATTTGAACATGAAAGAATTCAAATAGATCTTCTAGCGCGAGTGAACTCTGACAAATCTTCGAGGGTAATTGAATCAATCCAGCGAAAGCATTCAAAAATGTGATGCATATACCCTTGCCTGAAATACTTTGAATTCGATCGTTGGCGGGATTTATTTGAACACGATTACTCGTTATGTTCAAATTAAATTGGATATCATCACATCGCAATTACCTTGACTTATTTGTAACTTAGATCACAGTGTTTTCACTTTGATACGAAATAGAGAAATGACCCTTCTATGCCACTGCGAATTCAGGTGAAATCGGGAAATGTACATACACTAGCAGCAGTTGCGTATTCTTTAGTGAGACAGGAACAGTCTTCCGAAGTTCGTCTGTATGGCTTCAAGATGCTCCAGGTAAGATACTTTGTGTCTCTTCTTTTAAAGGAATCCGACGAGAGATCATCCGAACGTGTTTGGATGGTTGTGTCATCGTGTGCCTGAAATCACACGTCCCTTTTGTGATTAAGTTGAAATATTTCGTATATTCTTATCAGACAGTGCCGACTGCAAGCTATCAGAGCTTCGAAGGAGAAGCAAGGGCAGCATTATGCTAAGCTTTGAGCTTTATATAGCTGAATTGCATAATCTTGTGAGCATTCTGAAAGCTTTCGTTTTGTGATTTCAACAGCATTTGATACGTTTACGATGGGATGAGCTGAGCCCAGAAGAACATCGACAGATGGCGCAAATGGCTCTCAATATGATCCAAGAAGTCGCCAAACCTCATGAGCAATGGGCTCTCAAGAGTCAGGCTGCTGCTCTTGTGGCGGAGGTGCAATCCCTTGGACTTCATGAAGAATTTCTAGTTGTTCCTCCTTTTCCTATTTGACCTTGAAACTTGTTGATAAGGTTAATTTATTATCTACGCATCTGAAAATTCATCTTCGTGGAGTTATCTGTTATTCATTAAATTGTATAACCGATGCTTTCTAGCTCTTGGGAAGCCCAGCAACAAATCATGCATGCTCGTTCAATTGTTTTAAGTCCAAATTGCCAATTTCGCAACAGGTCTCAAGGAGGGGAGGACCGCCCATGTGGAAAGAGATGCTACCCAGTCTATTCAGCCTTAGCACTTCCAGCGCTATACACGTATAACTTTCCGGCACTGAAGCAAGTCATTTTGTGCTGAATCAGCTGAGTTTCAGCCAATTCAGTTTTTGAATTGAATTTGAAGTTTTTAACCTCAACTTTTTTTTATCATGAATAGTACCAACTGCTACATTTCGCATTCAAGTTATGGATCACAAGTAATGACTCTTTGGAACTGCTCATATGCAGTCAGAGTTGGTGGCGATGGTATTGCGCTGGCTTCCCGAAGATGTAACTGTTCATAACGAGGATTTGGAAGGTAAAGTTTTGAATCATGTAATCTCTTCAAAAGAAGACTTGAAATACCGACTTTGCCCAGAGTTCTGTGATGTGAGTCTAGATTATCAAATGAGATGTGTGCCTCAAATTTGAGCTTAACCTTTATATATTTCTGAAGCAATATCACATGCTACGTACTATGTACGAGACTTATTTCTTAATTACCTACCATCCTTTGTTGACTACTTATAGACTTTACGATCTCAAGAAGATGCAGCCTATGTCAAGTTCTTTCTCTGCCTACATATTGGGAATACAACTGCAAGAATTAATTTTTAATAACATCGCCTACATCAATCTCTCTTTCCACATTCGACCTTCAATTCTTTGTCCATCCCCTCTGAGTAAATGGTTGCTAAGTTGTGCTCATGCCTCTTCGAGTTCCAGACAAATTTCTCTCTTCAAAGTTTCTCCGGACAAGCTCGCAATTCTTGGTACTCCCAACTAGGATTATGTTAGTTAGAACATACGGTTAGTCACATGGATATGTGTTTTACAGCAGGCAACCTACTTTATATTTATCCATCCGTATCTAAAGGCTTATCAGCTAATGCACACTCTCTTGCATACTTCCTACGTCCCGTTTGTGTTCTAGGCTTTATACTTTCGTACATCCACATTATGGACTTGAATTCACATCAGACTCTAACATACTTTCGATTCTGAACTTACGTCTCAATCTAGCATGGCAAACTAGTGAAGATCACAAAATATATAAAAACTTCTAGCTTTGGAGCTATATTCTCAACGATTATTAAGTTTATACGTTCAGTAAAGCAATAGTTATACTTAACCACGGGCAGCAAACGGTTGTTAGTGTGGTACACACTGAAGATATAGAAAAGAAATCACTCATCCAGTCAGTGTTTCTTGCAAGGATACTAATTCATGACATTGTGCAAGCTTGCCGCACGAACCGTAAGATGACAAATAAATTGACAGATAACTTTGTACTTGTGAAGGTGAACGGCGGAGGCAGTTACTTTTTGGATTGACTCAGACCCTGCCGGAGACTTTGCCGTTCTTGTTTCAGGTATTGTAATACTTGAATTTCATTTGTCAGTGATAGATGGGCAAAGAGGCTTTCTTTTTGTGCATGAGCTGAGCAAATCTGTCTTGATGTGAGACGTCTTGGCATCTGTGTTTTGGGTTTATCGTCAAACCTGTGACCAAATAAATCTCTGACTTGTCGAGCTATGCCTCTCGCACTTCATCGTAAGAATGACCTTGAAGTGTTAAATTTTGATGCAAGCGTTCGCCTGGTCACTGGACTGCTGATCAGTTTTTGAAACTTATTCATGAATTCGTGTGTCACTTACGGCTATGAGTCGCCTTGACGTCCAGCTGTTGGAAACGCATTTCACGGCCGCCATGACCTTTACGGCTGCTAAGCAAGAGGAGGCCGCAAGGCAGCATGCTCAAGCTGTCACAGCAACATTGAACGCAATTGTTGCATACGCGGAGTGGGCCCCTGTAACTTCGATGGTTGAATATCGTCTCGTTGAAGCGTAAGCTGCGCCAGTTTCATAACAATTGTGTCTACATCTATTGCTGAGGGTTTACGAATTTTTTCGATTGCCTTCCAACCTTTATACCTCCACTTTCAGAAAGAATGAACTGGAAGTTTGTTAGACTCCCCACGGCGAAATTGTTAATGCTGCATAACTCTCATGTCAATCCATCTGTTAGGTTGAATACCAGTAGCTTGTAGTAATTTCTCTTATTGGTGGGAAGTTGTGATGATTACTTTCGGTTCAATAATCAAATTTGAGACTAAGATTTCATGATTGTCCTGTTTGTACAGGTGTGCAATACTGCAGAAAGCCCCACAGTTTCGACTTAGTGCTTGTGAGGTTTTGAAACTCATCGCCGCAAGGTGCCCACTATAAAGTGTTCACAATCCCTTTGTTCTGCTATCAAAGCACATGCAGACCTTCATGGAAGTTTATACATCTCGGAATCGTTGAGTCGTCTCACGGAAGATGTCACGTACTTTTGCAGGCGCAAACCAGCAGATGATACAGCTCCACTCTTCATGGCAGCCATAGTGCATGTGTTCGAGGCTCTTTCTACCGCTTCAGAGGCCTTTTTAATGCACATAGGTCAACAAACGTCAGAGACATTGAGTGGTACCAAGTCTAATGTGGAGGAGAGTGATATTGAGTATGGGGAGTGCTTGTGTGAGGCGATGGTTGCCCTTGGCTCTCAAAATCTGTCATGTATAGTGGAAGACGAGAGTCGGTTGGGTACTTATCTCAGGAGGGTAATATCATCGTAGGACCTGAAAACCTGGTTTTACATTTTGACAAGAACTTTGCAAGAATGTTCTGACTTTCTCATCTTGTCTGCCAGTTACTTGTGTGGACTTATGTCTGTACAATCTTCGATTTTGAACCTTATCTTTTCCAGAACTCTCGTGATATGGAGTCTGTTTTTCTTCTGCTGCAGATGCTTGGATTCCTTCAGCTCAGGTCTTATGCACTACATTCCCAAGCTTTGCCCCTGTGGCTGGTACGTTATTTCATCATTCAAGGGATAATTTTAATTCAATAGACATTTCTTCACATCTTCCGTGCACATGTGAGATGATACTAATGTCAATGTTACATCTGTAATTTCTATCACCATAAGACTTCTGATTGAAGGCAGGACTTCTCTGTTTGAGAAGGCCGTTCTTTCTTCTATCTTCAGAGTTCTCAGCTCTCTTGGACGGACGATGATTCTGGTCGAAATGTTGAGATGTTTTCTTGTGACTGAGGGGCATTACAGTTAGAGTTTAGTTTTCACGTGTTGATACATATCTAATATGTTGATGTCTATATATGCTTGATATATTGGCGAAGATTTTATCTCCTGACAGATTTACGGGTATGAAAGCTTGGCACTGCCATATGTGGTTACACACAAAGGGTCTTGAATAAGCTCGTACTTATGCTGATCTCTCTTTGTCAGACGCTTCTTCGGGACACAGCGTCCTCAGTCGTGAACAAGGCTGATTCAGTTGGCCCAGCTTCTAGTACAGAGAACGGCCTTCCTGCAACTCACGCTGAGAAAGAAAAGAAAGGAGTAGCTATCCTGATTACGGAAGAGCTATGCGCTGTACTCCTTGAGCTCGCGTTCCATCGACTTCTAATGAAGAGTCCAGAAGAAGCTGGATCTGATAACATGTCCTGGATTCAGGACTTCTCGACAGCAATCGATTATCGTCAGTCTCGCGGAAGATTGGTGAGTATATATGCGCTCTTGTATGTCGGGAACTGCCGATCTCACTCATAATTATTCAATATTTCTTGTGTTCAAACTTCTACACAACCTCGTTGTACCTTAGGAAACTTAATTTCTGCTTTTCTCAGATTTTAACATGTTACAGAAGCTAATCACAATCCAAGGACCAGTCCTTGTATGTCAAAGTTTGCTCCACATCATGTGTCAAATTTGGTGTTAATTCTTTTCGTGTCTTCGCCATTTAGAAATGGAGCATTTCGTAAATCTTCTGGTTATAGTGATGACACTCGATTGCTTCCTTTAGCTTCTCTTTCTCCAGCTTTGTATTGGCTTCAAACTTTGCAGTAGTTTCACCCAGAGGTTTTAATATACTTCTGGTTCTACATCCGTCATAGCCCTCGTTTTGTTTATGTATTTTTGCCTACTTACAGAATCGACAATATTCTTTGGATGCAATTTAATTAAACCTCTCGCTTTGCCTCCACTCCATAGTTGAAAATCCACAAGTTTCTTCTTTTTTTAGTTCTCCAACATCTTGTTAAACTTCCACTTTAATTTGACTCCATTCTTCTCTTGAGTATATTGTTGCTAAGTTGTTTTTATGTAAATTCACTTTAGTTTAGATCCAAATGAAAGTAGTTCAGTTTATGGTGATGGTAATCTGGTGTTACAACTGCAGTTGGAGCTGGTCAGGCTTATTGCCACTATCAGGCCTTTGGTAGCAGTAACGCACGTTTCCCAGCAAATGGACGTGGTGTTGAACATTGGCGATTCATCCCATCCATCCTCTCAGGTTTGAAATTGAAAACGCGCAGTGTTTGAGCTTGACTTGCATATGTATTTTCGATTTTGTAAGTACTCGACGTGGTGTACGTTTTCACCATTCAGTAATTGAGGGTGTATTGAGAGGCAGTATCTTCACAGTGAAGTCTGATCGGCTCTATCACAGCTATGTTGGCTCCATATAGAGTAGAGCATGTATTTTTGCAGACTGCTCTCTGGTGACATAAGTTTATCACCCTTTTCTATCTTCCAGGAACTATCAAGCCTACAGACCACCCAAGTCATGCTCGAGACTGTCATCAATGGCATCCCTGAACCTGTTATGGCAGCAGAAGCTTCGTCGAAAAGGGATTTGGGACTTAAGCTTGAGGGTACCAGACTGCCCTTGTCTCTTCCACTTGTGCTCCTCCATGTCTTAAGAAAGATCACTCCGAAGCGAAGATTAGAACTTGCCAGACAAATTTCCTCTAATGATATGCTAATTTTTTCCTCATTAACAGGTATATTTACCAGACTATACAACATCGAGTGGAAAATTCCAGGTCTTGTGGAACTGCTTGGAAGTTATCTCGATGCGATGGGGCCCTTCTTGAAGCATTCTCAAGCTGCCGTTCCTATGGTCATTGAGAAACTTTTTGCTTTGCTCGTATCTTTACCAGCGATGCGGATGGTAAGGCAATTAATCAATCTCGCTCAATCTTTGCGCATGACGGATGTGTTTTATCGTTATCAAAGTCACGATTTATTATCTGAAAAGACCGTATGTACTTTGTAGGATCAAGTCCAGGATGCAGCGGCTGCAAATTCTCTGAAGGAGATATCCCGAGCACGACTTCAAGTCTGCACATCTTTTTTGCGAGTTGCAAAAGCAGCTGATACAGCACTGCTTCCATACGCTCAGGTCTGTGATTTCTGACGTGTTGGCCTCGAAGTTTCTGTTGTAGCCCGAGGATGTCTTGTTTCCTCTACGTAGGAAGTACCATGTTATACCAGAAGGGCTTTTGTTCACCTGAGCACATGCATTATGTCTTCTAGATTCTCAAAAGTTTGTCCAGTTGTGTGACATGCACAGCGTATTGCAACCACCATGGAGGAGCTTCAGCAGCAAGGTCGTCTGCCACGGGGTGAAGTGAATTTGTTGGGAGAAGGACTTCTAATCGTGGGATCTGCTGGCGGGTAAGTCTGTTGTCAATACTTTTGAAAACCTTTGCAACGCACTCCGAGCAGGTAGTGTTTTTTTTTGCAGTTGCATGTTCTATCTACGTATCTCAATTTTAGCTCTTGGCTCAATTTTGTAACTTTTTCTGTTAATTGCTGGACGATAAGTTTCAACGAGTCCTGATAGTCAATAAGAACATGACCATCATGATAATTGCCTACAAGATTAAGTTCGGGAGAAATTCCCCCCAAAATACGTGGAGTAGTGATTGCCAAGAGAGCGAACTTGAAACTTTAAAGGTAGTTAGGATATGATGTTTTGAAATTTTCTTCAATGACAATATAAGCGTGCCCGGTAGTCGCCCATATAAACTATTTTGATGTGATTTGATACAGCTTGAAATCACGGACCTGTTGGACTCTGCTATGAGGATCTTACGGAAACTGCTCGTAGATTGCCGATGTAGAGACTACTTTGGGGTGTCTTGTGAAGTAGTATTACTATGTATACCGAAAACGCAAGGATTTGAAGATATCAGTCTGTATTCTCTGTAGAGATTGGAGTCCTGGTGTCACAATCAGCCAGTACATATATAGTAACCATGAGTGTTAATCATTGCCTCCTGTCTAGCAGGAATGTGCAGCACGGGCAAGTTTTGGACTGGCTGCTTGGACCTTTCAGGATGCGCTGGCAACAGCCTGAATGGCAGCAACGCTTCCTCAGCAGTCCAAGTGGCATTGTAGACCTTCTAAGTTGCAGGGACAAAATATTTGTGGGTCCTGCTGCAAATGATGGCAAGTCATATAACGAGGAAATATGGTTTGTATATCATACTGTTACTTTTTTTGAACGAGCACTGCGAAGATGTGCTGAACCTAAGAAGTCCAAATCACCATCTTTGATGGTGTCCCACTTGCAGTGGATGCTGCCTCCGCTGCTGAAGGTCAGTATCTCTTGGAGATCATCAATGTGTACCAGAAACTTCTGATGTCATATCGTCTCTACAGCTATTATGACCGCTGTATACTCTTCTTCTTCATTGGGATTAGCTGCGGATTTTGTTTTTTGTTAGTTTGGTCGATCAACATGCAAGAGTGTTCATGGCAAGTGATATCTTACATGAGCAAGTAAGATTTGTAAGTGACGTTTCTTGCAAAAGTCTGGTCTAGTTCATGCAGTAGGATGTTTCCGGTCTTGAAAATCTTAGCTTTTGCAGCTACTGCGTTGTATACACGCGTTATGGTCCGAAGCAATAATGCCCACGTTGCCGGCTGAAGTTCGAGGAGCTCTAGCCATGGGGGTACCAGAGCAGCTCTCTCTGCTTGGCACAGCAGGATCGCAAGGATCAGGTGGTAATGTAGAAGCCAATCAGATGGAGAGCAATTCTAACGGCATGGATACTAAAGAAAATGACATCAGAACGTGGTTGAAGGGTATTCGCGATAGTGGGTACGTTAAAAGAGCACTTCGATATTTCTCATTCTTTGGTGTCCTCGTCTAAAACTCGCCAGAAGTGTACCACTTACGATTTCCAGATATCTTTGGAGTCTTTTTTTTCCTCTTCTTGCGTCGTAAACACAAATTAATCCTCATCTGACAACAGCTGTAGTTCATCAGTCCTGCAATCTCCACTTGATCTTTTATCTAGACTTTTTCTCTTGTCAGTGTCTGCTCAAATACAGACGAGACATTTTTTCTCCTTGTTAAGCTCTGTTATGTGATTATCATAAGAGTGACACCAACACGAACATTCTTATATGGATCTGCGTTATCTCGACAGTTAAGCCAGTTTGAGGTCGTGATTTTGACAGAAGTACTCGATCATATATTGCAGGTACAATGTGCTGGGTTTAGCGGCATTACGAATTGGTGACGATTTTTTTGACGACACCGATGGTCGAGCTGCAGCATGCGCAGTTGCTCTTGTGGAAAATATCAATTACATGGAAATGCACCATCTGCGACAGCTGAATCACTCTGTTATCGTAAATTTTGTGAAACATTGTCCCCGTCCACATTGGGTTTCATGGTTGGGTCGTCTTTTACCACGTGTCTTAGTACATTGTCAAGCCGTCCTCTCTTCAGCATGGAGCAGTTTGATAAGAGAAGGAGCTGTGAGAGCCCCAGTAAATTGGGTTGTCAGTGCTGCCGTAGGATCGGATGATGGTTCCTCAAGAGCGATAAAAACGGAAGTAATTTTAGAAAAACTTCTGAGGGATCTTACACGAGAAACATGCCATGTTCTTGCTGTTATAGCGATCTTGAGCCCACGACAGCAGATACCTTCAGAGCACCAACCTGGAACAGAGGTGAACATGATTATTGGTTCAGATACGATGATAGGGTGAGTTGAATCATTTTTTAAATTCCTATTGCAAAGATTGTTTCCAAGACTGCTAGTGACTAGCTCAAAGTCTTAATGTGTCTTAAACGTATGACTCTTATGAGGATGGGCTGTTGCATGTGGTTAATTTACAGATTCCTTATGCAACAGAGAGAAGCAGCGCGTGCTGCCTTACTCTTGGGTATCGAGGCATTGGAGTGGCCAGACAGTGAGACAGTACATAAAGCTGTAAACTTCTGCAGTGCTGTCGTTAGTATGGCGTCCGTGCTTACGGATCTGGAGCTCCAAGAAATAGTAGGACAGAATATGTTTCTGGCCGCCATACGCGGCCTTACTTTGGAATCAAATGCGACAGGACAAGCTGAGCTGATAGGGCTCCTCAGAGAAATCTACATTCGCCTCTCAGCTCATAGCCAAGCCCCTCGCCAGGTACAACTCATGAAAATGAGTAGTAAAAAATCTCGTTGAAAGGATCATGCTATGACAAATGTTGAGTATTGGCTGCCTTTTTTTTTGGTTCATTTCGGTGTTGAGCTGACTATTCCACTTACAGGTCCTTTTGTCCTTACCATCCATTACTCCGGAAGTCCTAGCCGCGTTTGAAAAAGCTTTGGGAAAAACCTCCAGTACGAAAGAGCAGCGGCAGCTCGTCAAGAATCTCCTTTTAACTGCTGGAGGCGATCAGTTGAAGGCTTTAAAAGCACAAAAAAATACCAATGTTATTACAAATGTCACAAGTAAGAGCTTCTTTCCTCGTGTGAATGTCCTCTTTCGTCATCGTGTAGTTACATTGTTTAACAAAGATGGCTAAACTGCTCAAAGTTTGCTCGTCTGGTCATCGTACATATGCGATCGTTCGTAATTTTTTTAAGTGTTATGAACTCGTATTGCAGATCGATTAGTCGAGATGGGCATCGAGCATGTGGCCATCGACTCAGGCCCTATTGGATTGGCCTCGATCGTCATGTAAGATGGAAAAGACCAAGAAGCTGCCATTGTAGCATAAACAATGTCATGGTCTCTTATACGAGCTTGCGTTTTTTAAGTTTCTGTGCCCACTGTTCTGCTTGTTTTGACTTTTAGCAAGAACATTGGTCATCTTTGACGTGGAGCCTGAACGAATTTTCTCTGAATTTGGTACTTCAAGCCTTATGTAAACTGGCAGGGGCCTTTTAAGATTGGAAACAAAATTGACATTCGGCCTGACTAATTAGCAACCTAGAACTTTCAACTTTAGCGTGGTACAGAGCTTTGTTTAATACGGGGACCACATTTTTGCATCAAGAATGCAGCATACGGTTCTCCCCCATCACACTTCGATACTGTGACTTGGTGAAATTAGACTAGTCCTAGGGTAGTGATCACCAATTGAGCATACCTTTGTTGTGTATATTCTTCTAGATGACTGTAATTTCTTTAGCTTGATCCATCGCAAAAGCATGGAACCAATTTTGATCTGTATAATGGTGACGGTATGCCAAAGTTTAATGTGAAAGCGACGTATGTATGTACTACCTTGAAATCAATTGTCTCAACCTGAACCCTTTCTGTTTTAATGGAATATTTTGTAAACCGCAGCCCTTTGTTTCAAGGTTCTGCTTGTTGGGAACTTTGACAACAATTGATGCACTTGGCTAGTATTACGCTTGTTAAGGGTCATTGTTATTGGGCAAAGTTACTGGTCATTGAACTCAGTGTTCTTACCAACCAAGGAACAAAATGTTAAATATGTGCCAATGGTTCAAAAATCTTGAGCCATAGACATTAACCTATCTTGAGAAAAGATTTGTATATATACACACAAACTTGAGTACGTCCCTAGGCCTGTCAGTCCAATTGCAATACTTTCTATTAGTGGGCAAATGTTCAAAGCAATGTATATGTCATCTGCAAATGCAGAAATGTACACGGAAGTGTTTACACACTTGCGAGGTCTACCATTGATATCTTCCAGGTTATGTATCCAATTCAACATAGTCACTGAGTAATACTTCTGAACTAATTTTGCGGATTTTTCAATATGCTCCAATGATGTGCCTAGTAACCATCCATTTAAAAAAATAATACATTTTACTACAACTCACTACTACCTTCAACATCAAACTCTATCTGACTGGAACGTTTCATTTCATGTCGTATTTGGAGATGATGACTCGAATAAGCAGATGTGAAAATATATCTTATCATGATATCGTTGCATCAACAATAACCCTGAAAGAACCAAGATTAGAATAGATAATTTGGAGTTGGGGATGGACCTTGTAACACTAAATGTGTATGCAAGACATGATATTAAATGGATCTGCCAGATAAAATCACAGGTGTACAACCGGTTAGATTAGAACTGGAAGAGTAGTTGAAAGAGAATATGTTTAAAATATTGCAGTACTGTAGTAGTCACAAGTTATGATTAAATTAATATTTGAATTAAGTAATATGAGTTTTGTTAATAGAATGAACTTCGAAATGTTTTAATTTTTTTAGTTCATCGTTTATTATTATCAATAATAGGAAGATAGAGTTTTTGGAATGTCTTGGTGTAAAGTACAATATGTCCACTTTTTTTTTAAAAAATACTGGGATCAAATATTTGACAAAAGCTAGGGAAGATTCAACCAAGAAGTACCAAAATTGGAAGATCAAAGGTTGATTCAACGATATCATGATAAGATGTATTTTCAACAAAATGTACTATATCCAGTCTATCAAGATGAAATCGTCCACAAAATTAATGAACATTTGATGACTCTTACTTAACATGATTGCTGTTCTACGTAAAAATAGTCATAGCACTCTATAGAACAATGTAAACAAGCTGTCTAACATAAATAAACAATAGAATTTAGAAATTAATGAATCATATCTTTTTCTGTTATAAATTCTTGTACTATCACAAACATATCAACATCTGCTTGATAGTGATCTATAATTCCAATGTTAAAGAACAAAAACGTTGAACTGTTTGCATAACTCTTTACTTTGAAACATTCAAAATTGCAAATATAGTTGTCCAAACAAAATAAAAATCAATCTTTGAAAAATTCTCTCATTTCATAGATAATCATCACATCTGAAATTTTAATTTGATTCTCATGAACTAAGTATGCATCCAACTTCAACGCAAACTAATGCTCTCTCCACATGATGTTGGATACATGATGTAACATAAAATACATAAAATCTTTAATGATATTGTGGATAACTAAATTTTGTAGTATACATAAACATCAATTTAAATAAAACCTTCTTTATCTGGAGTTATTACACACTGACAAGTTAGCGATGAGACTTGGGGTGATAGTTATAGTGTAAGCAAAACCTGCTAGCTTGATAAAGTGATTGGTGCAGAGTCACAAAGTCTTGACGTGTAGTGAAACCAATATTAAAGAAAATGTGACATCGGTGACATCGAACCTGTATGGCAATGCTAGAAGTGAGTTAACATTTTAAAGATTACACGCAGGAATCTGCATTTTCCCCATGGTTTTCTGACTAGAAATGTCCATGTGCACAAGAACTGATCGGTGTGGTACTCTGTGAAGCAGATGCAACCTCGTCGTGTCGTGGAAGCGGGATGAATGACTTGGGTAAAAGGTGTCTTCGATTCTCTGCTTTGTTCTACTCTGTGAAGCAGATGCAACCTCGTCGTGTCGTGGAAGCGGGATGAATGACTTGGGTAAAAGGTGTCTTCGATTCTCTGCTTTGTTCTACGTAACTCCAATATAATTTGTTTGATGAAACAGTGAGACAGCTTGGCCTAGTTCAGTCCGGCGAATTTGCTGATTTCATAATTCGAGGTGAAAGAATGTCTCCTTCCATTGGATCACGTGAAAAGATGATACCCAATAGCATAGAAATGCTCGCAGCGGTGCAGTACCTGATATCTTGAAACGATACACAATGCTCTGATTCCAGGTTCAGAACAGCCCTCATCCAAAACGGACTAGCATCGAGATGCAGAATTTGATGTCACATGCTCGGTGCATGTCTCCTCTGAACCACAAGTTTGTACCCAATCACTGACCATCCATAGCGCATTCTTCCGCCCTTCATAACCCATGACAATAGAATATACCTCATGAAAACACGTGAATCCGAGCACAAGCAGCGTCGCTTTACTCCCGACGACAGACAGAATCCTACTTTGGAAAATTTCGAAATCAAACGCAGCTCTCCAGTTTCCGACACTCAACAGAATTCTTCCCGAACGGGAACGAAATAAAGAGAAATCAAAGAAAATTCCGCGGCACATGCCAAACAAACTCACTCTCACTCGCTAACTCACATGGAAAGTACGAAACAGAGACAGAGAGAACACAATCAGAACAGGGGAGTCTTTATTGCCTTAATAGCATATCCACAAAGCGCCAGGAGTTGAATCGAGTCTGTCAGTCTGTCTGTACAAGGCAGAGGGAGGGAAGAAGAAGAAGAAGAAGAAGTAGGGGGTGCAGTTATTGCCACCGGCATATCCACAAAGCGCTGGGAGATGGCGCTCGGGGGTGTCTGTACAGGGAGAGGGAGAGGGGGCCGGGCGGTCAGCAGGCGCCGTAGGAGGCCAGGAAGCGGAGGAGGGCGCCGACGAATTCGAGCTGCTTGTCGAGCGGGATGACGCTGAAGGGCGGAACGTGGACGAAGAGGCTGCGGGTGCCATGGGTGGCCGCGTGCCGCAGCGACTGGTAGTAGACGTAGTTGCAGACGAATCGCCCGGCGTCGGTGGACAGTGCCACGTCGAAGCCCTGCTTCTGCATCGCCTCGGTGATCTTGCCCGCCGCGAAGGCCGTCTCGCGCACTCGCGAGATGGCGCCATCGGCGGCCACGACTGGCTCCTCCTCCGGCTCCCAGCCCATCTCGTCCGCGCACCGAAAGGTCGCCTCGTTCACCGCCCGCTGCTCGATCGCGAACCTCGTCGCGCCTCCGTTCACCCCCAAGTGCACCCACACCACCACCGCCTCTGCGCCCTCGGCGCCATCGGCGCCCTTCGCGCCCTCGGCGCCCTCCTTCGGGCTCGCGGCGCCAGCGACCAGCGCCGCGTCCAGGATGGCCCGCAGCGCCTCGAGGCCTCCGGCGCCCGCCGTGTCCAGCACCGTGCAGCCGGCGATGGTGGCGCCGAAGGGCAGCGGACGATCGCCCAGCACCTCGCGCGCCTTCCTCACGATCGTCTCCGAAGGGTTCTCCGGCACATTGTGGAACTTGCCGAAGCCCGTCAGGTTGAACCTCATGGCCGGCGGTGCTCGAGCTTCGGAACCCATCTCGTCGCTCCCTTCCTATAGCCTCGTGTTTCTTTCTTTCTTCCGATCGATCGATCGATCGATCGATCCACCGACAACAACAGGAACAAGAACAACGACGACTATGATCAATCAATCGATCGATGCCTCTCTCGCCGACGGAGCGATCGTCACATCTCGTTGTGACGAGCCGAGCAAGGAGATCAATTTACACCAGCCTGATCGGGCGAGAGCACCTCGTAACTGACAGCGCGATGCGGTTCGGCGCGGCTTCGGGGAGGGCGAGGGGGGCCATGGCGATCATCGGATTGTGGGCCAAATCCCACTTCTGGATCAGACTCATCGTCGAGAGAGGGAGAGGGAGCAAGATTTCGGCGTCGGCGTCGTCACCTGCCTGAGGGGTGCGTGGGTGCGGAGCTCGGCGGGCAGCGCGTGGCGTTGCGCTCCCTCACTGGGCGGCGGTGGTTACCGCGAGATGCCTCCCTGTGGGTACCGGGCGATGTTATCCCCCTGAGGGGGATAACATCAACATCCTTCAGTTATCCCCCTGAGGGAGATAACCCAACATCTAAAAGCAGGGGGAGGCGAAGGAGGGGGACCCCCTCCTTCGCCTCCCCCTGCTTTTGCGCGCGCGGCCCGCTCGCCCGCTGCGGCCGTTTGACTTCCCGTCCGCGGCCCCCGCAAATACGAGTCAAAGCTCGCTCCCACCAAAAGTGGAAAGTCTTATTAAACGCCCTTTCCATATATGTAGGAATCTGTAGATTAGGCACATGCCTAATTGCCTAATCTACTGTAATTTAGACACACAGCCCAAATTAGAATAATTATGCCTGATATTGTAGATACAATAAGATAGGCATCACCTCTTAAAAAAGCTGAAAACACTACGATAGACATATATCATATATATTAAGGTATTATTAATTTGTTCTATATCTTGACAAGAAAAAAGCTTAACCTGACCGCTGGTTTCCCTGGTCGGATCCTAACCCTCATTAACCGTTCAGTTTACACCTTTTTTCCTGTCGTCATTTTTACTATCAAGTGTTAATCGATTTACCACGTAGACCCCTCACCCCAGAACTGGACGCGTAAAACATTATCAGCCCGGTCGCTGGTGCATCTGGTCACCGGCTAAGGTGACCGGCCCCCTTGAAAGCAAGAAGAAAGTCCATTCGAATGCGGCGAGCATTAAGAAAACGTAACCGAAACGTGTCCGGAGTTGGAGGTGGTAACCTCGGTCGCGGTTAAGGTACGCCCGGTTCCAGCCCAACCCATGGATTGGGATGCACCAATCCAACAGCTGAGAGCTTAGATGGAGACCTGGCAGGGGTGCATACGCCGTCGATGACCAGGCGGTGCGATCTGCTGTCCGATCCGTTGGTTACCACGATTCGGTCTTCTTATCCGCTTTCGCTTGCTTTTACGAAAGCTGGGAGGTCAACTTTCCAAAAGCAGACAGCGGATGCCGTCTCCTCGAGGCGTGGAGAAAGGCCCCATCTGTCTTTACGTCGGATCTTCTATAGGGCTTAGGGTTTAGTGACCGGATCTCAGCTACTTCACCGGCTGGAATCATGCGTTCACCGGCCTCTCGGAGTACAAGTAGAATTTGATATTCACGGGAGATGCATAGGATAAATAAACCGCATGAACTGAGGCACATGACAATTGCCAAAGTAGGCGAGAAAATAAAAATTGTGATGTTCCAATATCGAAATATAACAGAGATATATATTTTCATTATTATATATATTTTATTGCATACCATCACAGAACGACAAAAGCAAACCTCCATCACCAATAGAGTCTAAAGCACTCTGCAGTGAATGTAAGCCTGACCAAACTGAAGGATGTGACAAGACAACCATGATTAATTAATGTGCACCGATCTGGTAAACCCAGCACTGTATGACAAAACTTTCCGTATCTCGCCCAAGCGCCGCGGGCATCTCAGAGTCCAGCGGATTGAAGTAATGCCCCTCGCATTTACGAATCTTCGGTCGTGCTAATCTAAAAGATGCAGTTTCAAAATTTGTGAAAAATAATATTATTTCCTTATAGTTGGATGTATCTGAATGAATCAGATCAATGACTAGTGACACAAATGAAAAGGAATGCTTGTCTTCAATCTGAGTTTATAAAAAACTAAAATTTAGTATTGAAGTTTTATACAAACATTTTGGACGTATTACAGTTTCATGTCAATGGAACTACAGTTTGACTTCTCGTCCTTTGCAGACTGACACAGAGAACAGTTATAAGAAACCGAAAAGTAACCTCGTTTCAATTCAATATACAGTATTGAAGTTTGGTGCATATTGGTACGTCTTCTGAACGGGGAAGCTTTAAGTGCCATCAAAAGACAACTATTTGCCGGTGAGCTGAGAACTGATCGGGACAGTACGTCGATCAACTTCAAGGACTTCACAATTGCCGGGAAAGAAAACTCGCGACTGAAATCATATTGAAGTTCAGAAACAGATGTCTATGGTGCTGTTAGCTCTTAAGTACGCTGGTTTGAAGGTTCCGAGATACACCTTATATGGGCATCGCATGTTCCAATCGAGGTTCTCCCCTTCCTGCAAAAGTGTGGTCATGGAAATGAATATCCATTTCTGAGATGCATGACTTGATCACTGGCGTCGGTTGCGATACCTGAAGGTGCTCAGCCTATCTACAAGTTGTTGGCCATTCGTTACTACTCGTCCTCACCTTTCCTGGCGTTCCACCATTGAAACCTTCTCCACACTGCGAAGGCTTGATTTGATTCGCTGGGAGACGAAAGCGCAAAGTTCATCTACCGGATGTAACTTTGGCTCTGTGCACAAAAGACTGCAGAGCACATCATCTACACTGCTCGTGATTGAAGATGTCGAAGCATAGAAGATATTACTACCCTCATCCACATGATCCTTGAAAGGTAGCCGTACGTGCGTACCTCACTGAGTACACAGCAGCTGGATATCTAAGAGTCGTGATGACATATATTGACGATTGATGCGAGATGTGTGGGCAACCGAAAGCTAGAGCTCTGACACTAACCTCTCTCATTAAGATACACGAACCTGTAGGTTTCAGAACCGAATGCCGACATTTGCATTGCCACGGAGACGCTACTCGTTCGTTTCCAATTCCGATTTACAATGTGACCGAGTGACACTCCGAAGTGAAGATCGAAGATGCAGAGATACGCTAGAGTGTGATTCAGATCGTCAGTCTAGTCAGAACTGGAAACGATGACAATCACAGAGCAGGCACATCCGATCATCTGTGCTAGTCTGAGGTCCAGTAAAACCTTTCTTTCTCCAGCAAATGAGCGAAAGCCCGAACACACTACGATCTGGAGATCCTCAGAATTCGTCTCGAACCTCTGCACCATTGAGATTCCGACACCAACATCCGTCTCCGTGATCATTCAGATATCACGGTGAGCTCCAGTGTACTCCTGCACCAAAACTCGTCATTTTCACGACCCAGATACGGCGGTACATCTGATCTATCTCTGATCGTGCCTGGACCGACTCGTCCGAGGTTCATCCCATCATATCTCGGCATCACGGGTGTCATGATCAAGAGGGACCGGTGGAAACTTCACATGTCTGATCGTCGTCATATAGCGACAGGAAGCTCATGTTACAGATAATTTAATGCATGTTCCCATTAGTACTACAGTGTTAGTGTTCCGGACAGATAAGTGTCTGAGCACAAGGCTAGAGTCACATGAAAAGAGATCCAGTGCACAAGAATAGAAAACTAATAATCTAGTAAATATATAAACTGACATAAATGAATACAATTCCGAGCCAACGTGAAGTAAGCGTGTTCATGAGCTCGAAACGGACCAGTGAAATCTGATTATCGTGTCTTCTGGGTCGTCGAGAGAAGGTGGGAGTATGAAACAATTGCTGATTTCGATTATTCAAGGCCCGTGCAGTCAAAGAACATCAGCCGGAACATTCGGGCAAAACCCGAGTAGCGGTACATGATATGGATATTTACTGGGCAACCACGATCAGCGCAGAAAAAATTACAATGAATCTAATGTTATCAACTTGAACATCATCACGTGATTTTTAAGACGCAAGAAGGACAGCTTGGGTTGAGATTCCTCTGACATTACTATCCGTCACACTTCTCTTGTGCAGCCATGCATAAAATTTCTGGCAACCAAGCAAATATCTAAATATTCTAAGAAGCACAAACTGTGACAATATTTCATTAGCAAATTGATCAAGTGGACGATCTGTACCGATGGCATCGCCGGGTGCAAGATACATTTACAAAGGGATTGAAATACACGACACCCCAGTCACGGTTTACCGTCTGCAACACCAGCTCATCGTGCATCAGTATCTTTGTTGTTTCCTTGTGATCACACGAGAGTGGACATTGATTTGTGATTATAATATGACTCCCACAGCGATATTTTTTTTTCGAAAATAGATCAGGTCCACTCTGCTGAATACAGCGAGGGCAGTATATGAGGGTCTCCCTTCCACCGAGAACATCATTCCCCTTCACTGCATCGGGCAAGCATTCCGAGTACTGTCGGCAACCTGTAAGGGGGGATCATCTCCTGTCTCAAACAGGTAAGAAAAAGTTACTCATAATTTGTTTCGGACTTGCTCTCCATGCTTTCCTGCACATTAGTATTGCCGGTTATGTACATAGCACAAGTCCTGAGCATTCCTGTGGCAGCGTCTGTTTACGTTCAACCTTCTGCTAATTTCAGCGAGTCTTCGAGCCACTTGACATTTGTATATATCCATATGGAGGATGCATTCTCAGATAGGCCATGCATAGATAGAGCTTTAGATCGATGGAGAGACCCGAACGTAGATTCTGAACTTGTTTGGTGCAAGTCGTCATTGGTAGAGTGACTGGTTCAATAGTAAGATCCGAGAGGTTTTGGCAACAGCATGAATCTGTACTAACGAAAGCTGAAGCTGCATTTTCAGGAGCATCATGGCTTTCAGAAACAGTTTCAATGCGTTCACTCTGCTGGCAATTGCTCTTTTGGGAGTGATTCCTTGCGCTGAAGTACTTGCTCAGGGTTTACCACCGGGATTCCTACCACCACCTGACTTCCAAGCACCACCTCAAGGATTCCCAGTTCCTCCCGGTACCCTTCCACCTCCAGGATTCTTCGCACCTCCTGACTTTCAAGCACCACCTCAAGGATTCCCAGTTCCTCCCGGTACCCTTCCACCTCCTGGATTCTTCGCACCTCCTGACTTTCAAGCACCACCGCAAGGATTCCCAGTTCCTCCCGGTACCCTTCCACCTCCTGGATTTTTCGCACCTCCTGATTTTCAAGCCCCGCCTCAAGGATTTCCAGTTCCTCCTGGCACCCTTCCACCTCCTGGATTCTTCGCACCACCTGACTTTCAAGCACCACCGCAAGGATTCCCAGTTCCTCCCGGTACCCTTCCACCTCCTGGATTCTTCGCACCACCTGACTTTCAAGCCCCGCCTCAAGGATTCCCAGTTCCTCCTGGCACCCTCCCACCTCCTGGATGGTTCACACCTCCCAGCAACCTACCACCCCCTGGCTTTCCAGTTCCTCCTGGCACCCTCCCACCTCCTGGATTTTTTGCTCCTCCTGATTTTCAAGCCCCACCTCAAGGATTTCCAGTACCTCCTGGCACCCTTCCACCTCCTGGATGGTTCACACCTCCCAGCATCCTACCACCCCCTGGCTTTCCAGTTCCTCCTGGCACCCTTCCTCCTCCTGGATTTTTCGCTCCTCCTGATTTTCTAGCTCCACCTCAAGGATTTCCAGTGCCTCCTGGCACCCTTCCACCTCCTGGATGGTTCACACCTCCCGGCACCCTCCCGCCCCCTGGCTTTCCAGTTCCTCCCGGCACCCTTCCTCCCCCAGGATTCTTCACACCTCCTGGATTCCCAGCTCCTCCCCTTGGTCCACCCCCACCTCCAGGTCCTCCAGCACCACCCAAGAGCACTCTGCCTCCAGCAGAAGGTCCCGCTCCTTTCTTCATTACGGTAAGATTTCTCTTTGCTTCATTCTCCAAAGTGCAACATCGTCCTGGTTTATATCGGAACAGCAATCTTTGCTTTGACAGGAATCATGCACGTAATTCACTTGACTGAGAACTGAATTCTGTGGTCTCTATATTAGCTTCACTGACCTGTCCGTTGTGTTCTTTCTGTTCCAACAGTCGACTTACGCACTGGCGGCTGCACCAATTTCAGTGATTTACGCACAAGTGATAATTGCCCTGGCTTCAGTTTTAGTGACAGCTGTCGCTTTGGCTCTGTAGGAGCTGTAGAACTCATTCAATGAATTCATTCAATGGAACAGTTTTCGTACACACACATAGGATAGAAAACGAAGAACAAGCTGAAGCATAGCTGCACTAGCTTTTAGTCGGATTCTCTCCAATTGAGACCACATTGGTCTAGAGAGCGTCTTGAACATTCCCTTGTTTGGAATCAAGAACTTTGAGGTCGACCTGATTGCGGCAACCAGTACAGTAGAATAAATTTCCAAGCTTAGTTTTACCTTTAATTCATAAAGTGCTTCCCTAGAGCATCATTAAGCCTGCAGCAGTAGCTGCTGCCTGAATCTCGGGTTTATCGGTACCAGAAGTATTACCCCAGGTCAACATCCCCGTTCCTACAGAACTTTAACGTAGATATGTTTAGTTCTGTGGCCAGCCATCTGAATGCAGGCTGTGCTGCAAGCTAGAAATTCATTCTTCGAGTCAGTCATTGTGGAACTCCTCCCTGTCCGGGAAATTTGAGTAAAGTGCAGAGTTCTCTTGCATCAGACACCCGTCGTATCTCGAAGTTTATGCTTTCCAGGTTCCAAGTTTCTGGCTTAACCTATGCACTTACTAGATTCTCCCTTTGCATGCCGGAATCGAGTCATCCGATGCAGTTGGTTGTTTCACTTAGAAGACGATCTGATAGCTGCAATTGTACTCTCAGAAACATTTCCTTGGGAGTACACTTTACTCGGTACCCAAAACCCCCCAGTCTGTCAAACTGAGAGCTTCTCCCGAGCCGATGTGCGAAACTGGGCGAGAGGGTGCAGTTTTGATAGTCTACTGCTCGTTCTTAGCAAGCTTGCTTTATGTTCTTCTCACAGAATTAGCCTCTGCCTCTCCTTCTGTACATCACTGATATGAATACTGTTGCAGAATCTCTTTCCCAGCTCTGGAGCTTTCGCCTGGATCGGACCTCTTAGACTAGATATACGACTCATTCACTGCAGAGGTCAGATCGGCCGCTATTTGTTATACGACGTTATATGGTCGAATCTGATCGCTCTGTTTCCGTGTACTGCGTTTTTGTGGTCAATGATGAGAAGGAACCATGGTGAATTGAAAGAACATGTCATTTGAAACATGAGCTTAGCTTCTGGACCTGACTGGAAGTGTAATCAGATTCTTTTCATGAACTCTTGCAGAGTTTCGTCTATACAGTGGCAATCTAGGGACATGGAATAATTCCAAATTTTACCAGGGTATTATATGTCTCCAAAATACTTCCTTAGCTTCTGTCAAAGATGAAATATTGTTTCCTTTAGTCCCTACGAAAGACAAGATGAACTTCTATTCTAGGGAATCTTAAAACCTGGGACCAAGATTGCAGTCATATAACTAACAGGAGGTACATATGTAGCAATAAGACCAACTAGAGCTGATTTCAGCTAAATAGGTGCCACCATGTCACATGTATAATATCATTATCAATCCTATGTGGTTTAAGTACCAGCTTTACAATTCGTATTTAGCTCAGCATTTCTAACGCCAATATGGAAGAGACCAAAGCAGTGTAAACAACCAGCGATGACGATTCATCAGTATTTCCATGCTGATTGCCACTAGCAGTTCAACTTTCACCTTAATTTATTACTGCCAAAGCAGATATTAGAGCAAGAATTTTATTAAGAGCATGAGTTGTGGTAATAGTATCGTTTTGTGTTGGGCGTATCACACGTGATTACTCTTCTACTGTGATCCACAACTGATGAATCTGCATCTACTTAATAGCAGAAAAGGCTTTGTGCTTCCTTGGTCTTCTCAATTCCAACAGAGCTGTTAGTGAGAACTTTAGATCAGATCCTCGAATTCTGGTTACTTGGAAAAGTGCAATTTTTAACAATCAAGACTTTGTGATACCACTGACAGCAGTTAGTGTAGAGATTTAACCATTATAATATATATATATTTATACAACAATAAAATAGTTTGGTTTAACTATAGTATGCTTTTAGAAATAAATTATATCTAAAAAATAAATGAAGTTTAAAGCGCTTAAATTTATTGCTCTTTAGCACAAGAGTATACTCGGATCTTGGACAAAGCTGGAAAAGTCCGCACATGCACTAGCTTGTTTGAATCAAAAACATAAATCAGTTTATCATGAACATACACCATCATAGAGGCATCGAGCGGAAGGACACACGGAAGATGATGAGATACAGTAACGGGTTTTCACCAAAAACATGTGAGGAGACCTTAATAAGAGCAGCATACGTAATATATTCCCGGTTCAAAATTCTTCCGGAACTTTCAATACGTAACATTGGCCACATGCATATACTGAGCGATTTGTGGCCAAGAATTGGCCCAAATTGGCGTGTTCACTACCATTCAGCCGCTGATGTTGCCGATTGTATTTCTGATCTAAGTAGAAGGTTTCCGACACCCACCTCGGATGGAGCTGTGACTCAGTCTTCTGCTGTCTAGCATCGTGCATCAGTCATGTCTCTTGCTTAGACGTCAGTTCGGGTCATCAAATCTCTGACGGGTCGAGGACGCTTTAAAATACTGATTACCTCAACCCTGTACTTCCTGAATCCTACAAAGCTCAAGTACTTAAGGCTATCGAGACAGGAGGAAATCATTCCCCAGCCTAACATCTCTCGATTAAGCATACTGATCTGGAGGACTAACAAAAAAAACCATCATCGTTTTCTACACACGTCTCAGGTAAAGCATGCTGCTGATAGGCACCTTATATGCACTGATGATGAATCACAAAATCATGTTTTTGTAGATAGTTTGTGCACCACGGACAGTGCACTTCCGCACGTATTTTAGCAAGCATTGATTATATTTATTTCCAGATCTGCATTTGAAGGTTTTCCCGAGTGTTCCTGCTGTACAGATACTAAATACGCTTGAGGACCTTGCGTTGAATTTGAAGTCGATTACATACGGAAGGAAGTCCAGGATCTCCTTTCTCTGCAGCTGTGATGTGAGATCCAAGCAGTAGTTCTTAAGCTGCACATTGTTCACTAATCAAGGCTCTTACAGCTGTCTGACTGAAGTCTTCTGAAACATCGTTTCCTCAACTTGGAAATTATGAACGGGAGGAGTAATTTGTGAAATCTGCGCTATGGTCCGAGTTCTTGCACTGCCAGGCTGATCTAGTTGTAGCTTGTTTGAAGGTCCACGTCAAATGGCTATGCCATAGTAGAATACCAGGCCTTTCTGTCGAAATGTCCTTCGCACTCCAAGGAGTTGCAACTGTCTGTACAAGCTAGAGAATCCTGGCAGTCTGCTCGGGAACGGGTTCAACTTGTAAGAAAAGTCATATCATCCAAAAAGACATTTTTGGGTGATACTTTTACTAATTCTTGTCATTCATCGTTTGCATGCATGGACGACTACAGTAGCAGCGGAAGAACTTTGCCGAAATGGCGGATTCAATGAAAACCATCGGATGTGTGTCCAAGATCGTTATACTGATAGGATTGATCTTTATTTATGGAGTGAACGCTCAGGGCCCAGTCGGGTCTCCAGCACCCACAGTTTCTGTTGGTCCTGCTATTGCTCCGATTTCTGGACCTCCTGCTCCTCCTATCGCTCCTGCTTCTGTACCAAGCTCAAGCGTGACACCAACTGCAGCTCCTGCCGTCCCAGGAGTCATCCCCTCTCCGGCTCCTTTCATTGCACTGGTCCCTTCTCCAGTTAGTAGGCCACCAACACCGTCACCTGCGCAAGCTCCAACTCCAACTCGAGGGCCAACGAATGCTCCTGTTCCAACTTCAAGGCCGGTGTTTGCACCCGTTCCGGTGCCGAATCCATCAGCTTTTCCAGGAACAGCAACGCCTCCACCATCTGTGCTCTCTGTAAGTCAGCACTCTGCTCCATTCATGAGAATCTCCTTGGCTCTGCAGTTTCGGTTGTGTGTACTGGAGCTCTCTTCTCTGAGTGTCATCTTGTTCTGTTTGTTTTTCAGGGCCAGTCAAGTGCTAAAGCATCTGTGCAAATGACTGGACCGTCCGCGAGGTTCATGCTCCTCCTGGCTTCAATCGTCCTGACAGCTTTACTTTGGTAGGCACATCCGATGTGCTTCTATGGCAGCAACACTTGATTCAGATGACAAGTTCGTGATATTACAGATGATATACAGACACATTACATTGTGAACGAAGATGTCTCCGGGAAATTTTACTCGTGAACGATTAGCAGACATTCTAAATATGCCACGAACCTCCAAAATCGTAGTAAGCTGAATAATTTCATTGAATATAATAAATTCCGCTTAGCTTGTCCTTGCTCTTGATAGTCATTGAGTTCTTTCTGCAGCATGATTAAATAGTGTTCTTTATCATGTTCAACTCGCGTGCTTGAAACTTCGCATATTTTTTATACAATCTGGTGGGAAAGTGTTGTTGTGTGAAATTGAGTGGGATTGGACTAAGTTAAAGCATGAAAATTAAGATAGTGTTATGAAAGAATCATGCACATACTTGCATTATCCACTGATTTGAGAACAAAATAATATCGTCTGGACAAATTTACTTCACCTGAACAGCATTGCGTAATCTGACCATGCAAAAATATCAAAGCACCAGCAGTTCGAATCCTAACTACAGCTTTCTGCCCTACAGAGAATGATTCTCAGATGTGGTAATTTATCTGAGCATCATTCGCTGAAGAATATTCTTCAGCGAATGATTATGAATCATTTCGGAGTTGCAGCCGGCAGAAATAATCGCAGTGGCTTCCGTAGAGAGTGTGCATGGTGGAAGTGTAAACGCTAGGCCTTGTTGTCCTAGTCGTACGTGATACAAAAAATCATTTCTACTTTCTACGTTCCTGGAAGATGAAGAGGTAAAATGTGAAAGAGAGGAGGACAAGAAAATGGAGAGAAGTGCCTCTGATGTATATCAAACTTAGCACAGAAAAATTGAGATTTTAGTGCAAAATGTGTTACGTACTGCGCGGCATCTATCCAACCGATCTTACATGGAACGACGAGTTTAGTATTACGTAGAGCCCAATAACGTAGACCTGACTGAAAACATACAGAGAAGTTTCTATAATAGATTTCTGAAGTCGATACATATATCGTATATTCACTGACATGTAACGAACAAAATGTATCCCGAAGACGCAACTTGACTCGCGTCCATGAGGACACCTCTCCCATTTTCACGGTTGATACCACATCTGAGCAAAGCTGAAGGCATCAGCTTCCATTCAGCTGAGTTCCAGGATTCTGGCTGTTCTAGACGCTCAGATTCGATGTTTACACCTTCCCCTCGTTCAGATGAAAGAGTAGCAAACCCCTTGGGAAAATGAAAGCCTCTCCCTTCTTCACGATCTTTGCATACACTTTGTTTGATATGGTTGGGTCTTTGCCGAAGTTGTTTGCCAAGAATCCGGGTAAGTTTCTCCCTCCAACAGGTACAGGATCTCGTCAGCCAAGTTGTCTCAATGTCACTGGGATTGATATCAACGTGGAGGAGAAAAAATCCCTGAGTTTTCAGAGCTGGCCGCTCTCTCAGGGAAGCAAGGGTTGCTGTTCCGTTGGTCGAAACTTTGGTGCGATCTGCAGCTTCAGCAAGACCAGAAACCAAGTCTTCGGTCGTAGCGAGCCCAGGGAGCTTGCAAGGGAGACCATTGGAAATTGGCTGATTGCAATATCTGCAATGGTTCAGGATCGACGACGCTCCAGCTGCGAGGATCAAAACAGCAACGGGCTTCAAAACTGCCAAGTTTGAGCGGTGCATGAAGAAATCCGTCATTGCCACGTCTTTTGTGCACAGAAAACTTACAAGACCCATACTTGGACGTGAATTCTGCTGTTTAACAATTCGGCCCATGCGCAATACACCTGCACTGCTAAACATGTCGAATACTGAAACTTCAATGGAATGTTGTACGTGTCTGCGATACTACGTTCATGAACATGTAAGTACTCTGAGTTGCTACAATTTGTAGAGGTATGTATTGAGATGTTATCACTCATGTCTGAGCTACAATTCGTCTTTCGATTAGGCACGACTCAAGAACACAGATCTAACTTGAGCTGCAAACACGCCGTTGGACCCAAGCTAATAGTCCAGATTGAAGTTTGGGTAAAATTGTTGCACTCGGACCTGCGGAGCGTCTCTGCAGCCATTCCACCTGTCTGGACTGTTTGAATTGGCTTCAGTGTCCGGGCATTCAGGAATCAAACATTCAGCTTCTTGTGGGACATTTTCACACACCTGTTGTAAGACATTCGGATCTACGTTCGGGGAAATGGTCTAGGCCGAAAACCCGATGTTTGTAATTGCACCAGAATGAGAGTTCTGGTGAGGAACTAGTCCTAAGACTCTCATCATAGGATGGCAAGAACGAGTGTCATTGCGGCTCATGGGTTTTTTCATATCTCTCACCGATTTCCTGCCTCGTTCCTGCATCGTTGAACGTGTTACCACCGTTCCAGGTTCGCTCGAGGGTGCACTTCACTAAGATTGTCCCATGTTCCCATGATGGGTCTCAAGATCCACATTCGAGTTTGTTCGGAACATCTGGCACATGGAAATGTCGTGTACAGATCTGTACCATACAACCGATCCATGCAGGTTTGCACAACGTGCATAGACGTCGATTGCGTCAAATGAATCAAAATTGGAAGTCGTTTACTGAACATAGTCTTTGTCATAACAAGGAGAAAATTATTGGATGGCACCAAACAGTTTTCATTTGGCCCCATGTACACTTCTACAGTCCATGTTACAATACGATTTGGGTTGAGGCATGTTTCAATATGGATTATTTGGTGATTTCGGGCGTTTTTTCTGATTCAGTAAACTATACATTGGGTTAACTCCGCATCCTGCATAAATCCTCATATTTCAGACGAAATTTCAAGGATGAAAATTCTTGAGGTTTATTCTCAGCAAAAATCAAATATGATCAATTGGAAGCTGTTTTCAGCTCGTTCGTGGACCATAGTGGCAGTACCTTGCTATAAAACTCAACGAAGTGTAAAGAGAGTTCCCTTAGCTTGATTAATCTGCTAAGAAGTGGAACATCTTAACTTGGCCATTTCAACCTTGATAACATTCACCATTAAGTGAAAAATCATATCACGCCGATACTTACCGGGGTTGTTGTGGCCATGTTCAGGTTCATTTTACTCAGATTCGAAAAATCAGGTCCAAAAGAACAACATAGATTTCCTCAAGCAAATTTTCCTAATATATCTCAGAATTTTTTTTTGTCATCATTCAAACACTTCTTAACCTTACTCTGAACATCAGTTTCATTAGAACAACAAGAAGGCTACACTTGCTTAACAATTTAGTAATGTCAGCAATTGTGACATCATCGTTGTAAACTATAGTATCGGGGATGCCAAATCTAATAATAATATTTCCTTTTTTGAAGCAATTTTTCAAGTTATAAGTAAAATTGTTGTTACAAGCAGCATTTGCAAAGTTTGCAGCATCAAACAAACGTGGAAGTCTTCCGTAAGTGTGGTATTTAGTTTTTTTTTTTTTTTTTCATCAATAACAAAAACTTAAACATATTGGTGTCAGAAAGTATGCATACAAGTCCTAAGTTGAAGAAGTTAGAAAATTATCGGAAATTTAGCTAGTTAGAGAAGTAAATTGGAATTGGCCTTTCGCCAAAGACTTTCGGATCTTCGGACCATTGGCGCAGCCATTTTAGAGAATGCAATAGCCGGGCCTTCGGCAAAGACGACGAATGTCAATTTGAATCTCGCGAAGAGCCGGTCAAGACTCGCACGCGCCGAGAGTACCAATTTGCGCTTGTGAGTAATGTTAGGGCATCGAGGATAAGGGCACGACGAGATCACTCTCGCGCCGACATTGCGATATCAAGAATGAGAGAGAGAGGATCAAACTTGACCGACCTTGATATCAGCGAAGACGAGATTGGAGACATGGCGCCGCCCACGATAGCCAAAATGTGGAAATTGGTTCCACTTAAGGTGTCTTACGTGGAGTTGCGACCCTATAGATAGGAGCTTATCGAGTTACACCTAGATTTACTCTTATGAGATTGGAATTGCGTGTCGGCAACCATCTGTGAGGAGATTATGGACAAGAATTGAAACGAGGAGAGGGTCTCCGTGGCAACCCGATGCTCTAGACAATCGATCACTAGACGAGGGTTCTAGTACCATGCACATGAGAAGACGGTGACTTCATGTTCAAGAAGGATAGCGTCAAGATTATCCGCGAGGAGTATTTTACCTTCGCTCCACTCTTCAAGAACGCGAGGTCGGGAACAAATGGATGGAAGACAACAGATTACAAGGACCTTAAGAGGCGCGCGATCGCGTTGGGAATAATGCATATTCTACGACCGCAACGCACAACCTATGTCACCGCTTGGCAGGTCGGCTTCTTCAAGCGCGACTTGAAGGGAGAACAAATTCATTGGGCAAGGATTATCCATGATCTAATTTAAAAACAATGCGAGTACCCGATGGAAGAAAGAATTGATTAATCACATAACCCTTACTTAGTGAATTTCTACCGAGGGATAGGATTACTCACGAAGAAGTAAGATAAGCGATTCCCGAAGGAACGAGAGATACTAGCAATTGAGTCCAGTGAGGAGACAGACGAGGAGGACGATGTTCCACCTGAAGAGCCACCTCGACGGACAGCACGTGGGCTAATTCAAGTGGATGTCATCAAGGAACAGTCAGAAAGGAGACTGGCGAAGAGACAAAGTATAATCGTCGATAGTGAGGAAGGCCGAAGACCGGAGTCGCGGATGACGAAAACCCAGAGAACGGGAATCAAGTCGTCAAAGACACAGGCCAGGCCGAAGAAGAAGGCAAATCGTGAGAGATTTGTGTCCGATTCTTTGAATAGCAGTGTAGCGAAGACGGATGCAGTTGCCTCGACGACAGACGAAGAGAAGAAGTAGGAGCCTACTCTTCAGGTAGTGGAAGGAGTACCTTCGGCCGTACAAGCAAGAAATCTTGATGGAACTAGCAGTGGAATCTTTGGAGTAAAGGACGGAGACGGTTAGTCCAATACTTACACCTTCGGAGCAGACGCGATCTATGGGGAGTGAGGAAGTACCACAACCGAAGTCGAGTGAGGAGATGGCAGAAGATCTCACACTCAGTGAAGAAATGCTCGAGCATGTAGTGGCATAGGTTGATGGGACAGTGGTGATGGTTCCCGAGATTGCATGTCCCCACCACCTGAGGAAAAGGTAAGACCTGAAGCAGGAAAGGAGGTTGATGAGGAGGAATTAAGAGAGTTAGATGTCTCTTTTTCCTATTTTTTGCAGTATAGTGTAATCCCTCTACGGAAGTATTTAGATAAGAAGAGAGCGAAGTACGCTGTGGAGAAAGCAGCAGGGTTCTATATAGAGTTGGTAAGGAATAGGATCTAGATTAAGAGAGCAGTATCAATAAAGAGGGAGTGAGAGTCCGCAACCGCAATGGCGAAGCAACGAGTTGCGAGCTTGACATCCGAGTGCACGACCATGAGGGCGACGCTGCAAGAGCAAGAAGACCATCTTCGGGCGAAGAAGAAGGAGTGCGAAGTTCTTCGGATGAACTTAGCTAAAGAGACTGAATGGGGTGTGTCGTCAAAGCAGGATTGTGTCAGTCTTTGAGCTTTCCATGCGAATGTACTGAAGGCAACTGTGGATCTATGTAAGAGATTGGAGGCATCCAAGGTGGCCTACATTGCGAAAATGCAACGTGTGGAGTAATTGATTGTGGCTTCGGCGGAGCGCGATCAATTGCATGCTGCGGAGTTCGTTAAGGCGGAAGAGCTAAGAGCAAAAAAGAAACGGATAGCCGAAGATCTTCATGCTCAGATTGCTGCGACGAAGACGGAGCAAGTGGAACTTCGAGGCAGGATTGTGAAGCTTACTGATGATCGTGATAAGGAGTTACATCGCGCGGATGAGCTCACGGCGAGTCTGGCGAGTGTACTCCGGAAGCAAGCAGTCAAAATGATTGAATGGGCTAAGAAATTGGCAGATTGCGTAGCGGCCAGGTCTTTGGAGGTCAAATGTAAAATAAGATTCGAATCGGATTGTGATCGGTTACAAGAGCAGTTGAAGTTGTGATGCAGTTGTAGGAGTCACAGACGAGAGTGAAAAAGGTGAAGATAGCATACCAACAGCTACGAGATGAGACGACCGACGGTTTGCGTTTGCGTGTAGAGAAGTGCCCGCGCGGATTCGTGATGTGGTAAGTGCAAACGCTGAAGTGGTTGAAATTAGATTTGGTGTAGCGACGGTTGATGAGTATGAAGACCAGCGGGTCCGCGGGGCACAAGCAGTTAGTTCAATTAGTTAATTCTTTCTCTACTGGATTGGAAGAGGCGCGAGAGAATATAGAGATAGAGATTGTAAACGTATTACGTAGGTTAGGAGCCGACGGAAGCTCTGTGGACGCTGTAATCGCTACGTCAGATGGCACCGCACCTGAGAGTAGTTTGACTTAGGAGGTTGAGATGTCTAGGAGTTTAGAGTGAATAAAGAGTTCCAAGGCTCTTTCCTTGGAGGTTTTTTTGTCAATTGGCTTGTCTTGGCTGCTACCCTGTATACATTGTGCGCGTTTGTGTGAGTCTTGTCACCGTGCATGATGCGCTCTTTTTTGTCAAAGATACCGCATCTGGAGCTGTGTATGTCCAACTCGGATGTTCTGAGTAAGCCTGGGACTATTCGGGATTTAAAAAATAAATTTGGTCTGGATATTTGGGTCAGTGAGCCTAGATTGTGCAATTCTGGGAAGTTTTCCCCTGAAATCAGAGTGTGGGGTCGAAGGAGATTCCCACATGTGTAGATTGGAAAAGTTTCAGGCTGTGTGTGTTTGTACTCAGCTCTTCGGGCCTTAAGCCGTAATCGAGCAGTGTCTTCTAGGAGTGACATGTGCCTAAAAAGTAAAACTCTTCAATAGAATGTTAACTAAGTGACAAATCGTGATTCTTAGTGTTGCATTTGTCTCTATGGGAACGAATCTGTACCATTATCCTCCATTTTGGTATTTGTTGGTTATCACAGTAAGCAACTCCGGAGATGCCATGTTTGAGCTACTAATGCAAATTGATCTTTAAGTTCTTTTTTATTATTATAAAATGCAACGAGATACTTTAACTGAACACACTTGTATTGATGTTTTACGACTGCAATGATATCCATATTTATTGGTTGTTTCCAAGAGATGATGTTATGCAAACAGAAGTCAACAGTAATGTCATTTCATTCAAAAATAGTAGAATGATCAAGAGCATTGTCAAGAAGTAAAATTGCATTCAAAAATAGTAGAATGATCAACAGCATTGTCAAGGAGCAACAACACTTTGTGTACTGTTCGTCGACGAATATATAAGGCTCAAAGACCTATCAAACCACTTATATAATGTGTCGTGCAAATATCTATCACCATACAACAAACATTGCTGACATGCCATACTCACACACAGTGGCAGAGCTAAGCGGGGGCAGGAGGGGCATGCCCCCAAGCCCAGGAAGGGTCTACACAGATTGTGAGTTACAGAATGTGAAAATGAGGTCGAGAAAAAAATTTCATTTGAAATTGGCGGGGAGCTTCCACCAGAAAAATCCTGGCTCTGCCCCTGCTCACACACATATATGAAATAAGAGCATACCAGTGTATGACTCCCAAAGATTCTCACCGCTCTTCCGCTGGAAATCCTGAAATTTCTTCAACTTCAGATTCTTCATCCCTAATAGTTTTTCTTCAGCCTCTTAAAGAATTATGCAATCGGACTGAACAAAGATAAACCACTAGCATCTCTACTCAAGCTGCCAACGGCAATGCTACTAGTACCACTACTAGTATCTCTGCTAGTTCCTCCATCAGTACGTCCACTAGTATCTCTCCTGGTACCTCCACCAACCGCTCCAACAGTACCGCCACTAGTACATTTTTTGTACCTTCACCATAAGTTCCACCAATAATCTCCCTAGTGTTACTACTTGCACCTCCACATGCAAAAACACCACTTGCATCTCCATTAGTACCAACACCACCTTAGTTAGTAAACAAATAGTTTGGAGACCAATGGCATCTCCATGCATCAATCTCTACCAAAATTATAAAAATCATCCATGGAAGTTTACTCCAAATGCTGAAATAATTTATTTCATGTAGAGACGGTAGTAAATAACAAGAATTTCGCAATAATTGCATTTTAAACCACGTATTAAATTCCCGGATGAAGTTGTCTAGCTCAATAGTGCCCACCAACCCGAGTACCTTGGCCAAGTCCACTCCACAACTCAAAAAATCCAAGCCAAAACTAACGGGACACTTTTGCTGACCCTGAGAACTATTTCCAAAGCCAAAGAACTTCCAGTTCTTTGAGTAGTCGCTTTCCACGCCTAAATTCTTCAACTCGCAACACTAGACACTAAGCTAGAATTAACTCAATTGGAGTTGATACTACTCCGATACTAACTATTCACAACAAATATAGACATGACCAATGTCGAGACATTGATCCAAGCATTTTTCTGATAAAAAATAAGAAATGAATTAGGTGTTTCTGGCAATGCATGCGGTCTACTTCGACTTTCAAATCATTCAAACACAATCTATGACAATATTTCATGAGCAAATTGATCAAGTTGACGTATCTGTACCGATGGCATCGCCGGGTGCAAGATACATTTACAGAGGGATTGAAATACACGACACCCCAGTCACGGTTTACCATCTGCAACACCAGCTCATCGTGCATCAGTATCTTTGGTGTTCACCTATGATCACACGAGAGTGGACATTGAAATGTGATTAGAATATGACTCCCACAGCGATATTTTTTATCGAAAATAGTCCAGGTCCACTCCACTGAAATCAGGGAGAGCAGTATATGAGGGCCCCCTTCCACCGAGAACATCATTCCCCTTCACTGCATCGGACAAGCATTCCGAGTACTGTCGGCAACCTGTAAGGGGGGATCATCTCCTGTCTCAAACAGGTAAGAAAAAGTTACTCATACTTTGTTTCGGACTTGCGCTCCATGGCTTCCTGCATATTAGTAATGCCAGTTATGTACATAGCACAAGTCCTGAGCATTCCTGTGGTAGCATCTGTTTCGTTCAACCTTCTGCTAATTTCAGCGAGTCTTCGAGCCACTTGACATTTGTATATATCCACATGGAGGATGCATTCTCAGATAGGCCATGCATAGATAGAGCTTTAGATCGATGGAGAGACCCGAACGTAGATTCTGAACTTGTTTGGTGCAAGTCATCATTGGTAGAGTGACTGGTTCGATAGTAAGATCCGAGAGGTTTTGGCGACAGCATGAATCTGTACTAAGGAAAACTGAAGCTGCATTTTCAGGAGCATCATGGCTTTCAGAAACAGTTTCAATGCGTTCACTCTGCTGGCAATTGCTCTTTTGGGAGTGATTCCTTGCGCTGAAGTTCTTGCTCAGGGTTTACCACCGGGATTCCTACCACCACCTGACTTCCAAGCACCACCACAAGGATTCCCAGTTCCTCCCGGTACCCTTCCACCTCCAGGATTCTTCGCACCTCCTGACTTTCAAGCACCACCTCAAGGATTCCCAGTTCCTCCCGGTACCCTTCCACCTCCTGGATTCTTCGCACCTCCTGATTTTCAAGCCCCGCCTCAAGGATTTCCAGTTCCTCCCGGTACCCTTCCACCTCCTGGATTCTTCGCACCACCTGACTTTCAAGCACCACCTCAAGGATTCCCAGTTCCTCCCGGTACCCTCCCACCTCCTGGATTCTTTGCACCACCTGACTTTCAAGCCCCGCCTCAAGGATTCCCAGTTCCTCCTGGCACCCTCCCACCTCCTGGATTTTTCGCTCCTCCTGACTTTCAAGCCCCGCCTCAAGGATTCCCAGTTCCTCCTGGCACCCTCCCACCTCCTGGATTTTTCGCTCCTCCTGATTTTCAAGCCCCACCTCAAGGATTTCCAGTACCTCCTGGCACCCTTCCACCTCCTGGATGGTTCACACCTCCCAGCACCCTACCACCCCCTGGTTTTCCAGTTCCTCCTGGCACCCTTCCTCCTCCTGGATTTTTCGCTCCTCCTGATTTTCTAGCTCCACCTCAAGGATTTCCAGTACCTCCTGGCACCCTTCCACCTCCTGGATGGTTCACACCTCCCAGCACCCTACCACCCCCTGGCTTTCCAGTTCCTCCTGGCACCCTTCCTCCTCCTGGATTTTTCGCTCCTCCTGATTTTCTAGCTCCACCTCAAGGATTTCCAGTACCTCCTGGCACCCTTCCACCTCCTGGATGGTTCACACCTCCCGGCACCCTCCCGCCCCCTGGCTTTCCAGTTCCTCCCGGCACCCTTCCTCCCCCAGGATTCTTCACACCTCCTGGATTCCCAGCTCCTCCCCTTGGTCCACCCCCACCTCCAGGTCCTCCAGCACCACCCAAGAGCACTCTGCCTCCAGCAGAAGGTCCCGCTCCTTTCTTCATTACGGTAAGATTTCTCTTTGCTTCATTCTCCAAAGTGCAACATCGTCCTGGTTTATATCGGAACAGCAATCTTTGCTTTGACAGGAGTCATGCACGTAATTCACTTGACTGAGAACTGAATTCTGTGGTCTCTAGATTAGCTTCACTGACCTGTCCGTTGTGTTCTTTCTGTTCCAACAGTCGACTTACGCACTGGCGGCTGCACCAATTTCATTGATTTACGCACAAGTGATAATTGCCCTGGCTTCAGTTTTCGTGACAGTTGTCGCTTTGGCTCTGTAGGAGCTGTAGAACTCATTCAATGAATTCAATCAATGGAACAGTTTTCGTACACACACGTAGGATAGAAAACGAAGAACAAGCTGAAGCATAGCTGCACTGGCTTTTAGTCGGATTCTCTCCAATTGAGACCACATTGGTCTAGAGAGCGTCTTGCACATTCCCTTGTTTGGAATCAAGAACTTTGAGGTCGACCTGATTGCGGCAACCAGTACAGTAGAATAAATTTCAAAGCTTAGTTTTACCTTTAATTCATAAAGTGCTTCCTTAGAGCAACATTTAGCCTGCAGCAGTAGCTGCTGCCTGAATCTCGGGTTTATCGGTACCAGAAGTATTACCCCAGGTCAATATCCCCGTTCCGACAGAACTTTAACGTGAGATATGTTTAGTTCTGTGGCCAGCCATCTGAATGCAGGCTGTGCTGCAAGCTAGAAATTCATTCTTCGAGTCAGTCATTGTGGAACTCCTCCCTGTCCGGGAAATTTGAGTAAAGTGCAGAGTTCTCTTGCATCAGACACCCGTCGTATCTCGAAGTTTATGCTTTCCAGGTTCCAAGTTTCTGGCGTAACCTATGCACGTACTAGATTCTCCATTTGCATGCCGGAATCGAGTCATCCGATGCAGTTACTTGTTTCACTTGGAGAGACGATAGCTGCAATCGTACTCTCAGAAACGTTTCCTTGGGAGTACACTTTACTTGTACCCAAAACCCCCCAATCTTTCAAACTGAGAGCTTCTCCCGAGCCGATGTGCGAAACTGGGTGAGAGGGTGCAGGTTTGATAGTCTGCTGCTCGTTCTTAGCAAGCTTGCTTTATGTTCTTCTCACAGAATTAGCCTCTGCCTCTCCTTCTGTACATCACTGATATGAATACTGTTGCAGAATCTCCTTCCAAGCTCTGGAGCTTTCGCCTGGATCGGACCTCTTAGACTAGATATACGACTCATTCACTGCGGAGGTCAGATCGGCCGCTATTTGTTATGCGACGTTATATGGTCGAATCTGATTTCTCTGTTTCCGTGTACTGCGTTTGTGTGGTCAATGTTGAGAAGGAACCATGGTGAATTGAAAGAACATGTCATTTGAAACATGAGCTTAGCTTCTGGACCTGACTGGAAGTGTAATCAGATTATTTTCATTAACTCCTACACAGTTTCGTCTATACAGTGGCAATCTATTGACATGGGAAAATTCCAAATTCTACCAGGGTCTAATATTTCTCCAAAATACTTCCTTAGCTTCCGTCAAAGATGATATACTTTTTCCTTCAGTCCCTACGAAAGACTAGATGAACATTTATTCTAGGTAATCTTAAAACTTGGGACCGAGATTGCAATCATATTACTACCAGGAGGTACATATGTAGCAATTATACCAACTAGACCTGATTTCAGCTAAAGAGGTGACACCATGTCACATGTATAATATCATTCTCAATCCTATGAGGTTTGAGTACCCGCGTTACAATTCGTATTTAGCTCAGCATTTCTAACGCCAATATGGAAGAGACCAAAGCAGTGTAAACAACCAGCGATGACGAATCATCAGTATTTCCATGCTGATTGCCACTAGCAGTTCAACTTTTACCTTAACTCATTACTGCCAAAGCAAATTTTAGAGCAAGAAGTTTATTACGATCAAGGGTTGTGGTAATAGTATCGTTTTGCATTGACTATAAATCACATTGGGCGTAGCACACGTAATTACTCTTCTAATGTGATTCAAAACAAATGAATCTGCATCTATGTAATGGCAGAAAAAGCTGTGTGCTTGCTTGGTCCTCTTAATTCCAACAGAGCTGTTGGTGACAACTTTACATCAGATCCTCGAATTCTGGTTACTTGGAAAAGTGCAATTTTTAAAAAGCAAGACTTTGTGATACCACTGACAGCAATTAGTGTAGAAATTTAACCATTAATATATATATATATATATATATATATACAACAATAAAATTTCTTGTTTTAACAATAGTACGCTTTTAGAAATAAAATATATCTAAAAAATAATTGAAGTTTAAAGTGCTTAAACTTAACGGTCTTTAGTACAAGAGTATAAAATGCACTACCTTGTCTGAATCAAAAACATGAATCAGTTTATCATGAACATTAACCATCATAAACCGAATGCATGGAGAGCTAAAGCCGCAGTTTTCTGAATTTTCACGTGAGGTTAGAGGCATCGAGCGACACACGGAAGATGATGAGATACAGTAACGGGTTTTCACCAAAAACATGTGAGGAGACCTTAATAAGAGCAGCATACGTAATATATTCCAGGTTCAGAATTATTCCGGAACTTTCAATACGTAACATTGGCCACATGCATACACAGAGCGATTTGTGGCCAAGATTTCAAATGGTTAAGGAGCAACATTGGCGTGTTCACTACCATTCAGCCGCTGATGTTGCCGATTGTATTTCTGATCTAAGTAGAAGGTTTCCGACACCCACCTCGGACGGAGCTGTGACTCAGTCTTCTGCTGTCTAGCATCGTGCATCAGTCATGTCTCTTGCTTAGACGTCAGTTCAGGTCATCAAATCTCTTACGGATCGAGGACGCTTTAAAATACTGATTACCTTATCCCTGCACTTTCTGAATCCTACAAAGCTCAAGTACTTAAGGCTATCGAGACAGGAGGAACTCATCCCCCAGCCTTACACATCTCGAGTAAGCATACTCATCTGGAGGACTAAAAAAAAACCATCAACTTTTTCTACACACGTCTCAGGTAAAGCATGCTGCTGATAGGCACCTTATGTGTACTGATGATGAATCGCAAAATCATGTTTTTGTAGATAATTTGTGCACCAAGGACAGTCCACTTCTGCACGTCTTTTTGCAGGCACCGATTATAATTATTTCCAGATCCGCATTTGAAGGATTTCCCGAGTGTTCCTGCTGTATAAATTCCAAATACGCTTGAGGACCTTGTGTTGAATTTAAAGTCGATAACGTAGGGAAAGATGTCCAGGATCTCCTTTCTCTGCAGCTGTGATGTGAGATCCAAGCAGTATTTCTGAAGTTGCACATTGTTCACTAATCGAGGCTCTTACAGTTGTTTGACTGAGGTCTTCTGAAACATCGTTTCCTCACCTTGGAAGTTGTGAACTGGAGGAAAGATTTGTGAAATCTGTGCTATGGTCCGAGCTCTTGAACTGCCAGGCTGATCTAGTTGTGACTTGTATGGAGGTCCACGTCAAATGGATACGCCATAGTAGAATACCAGGGCCTTCTGTCGAAATTTTTTTCGCACTCCAAGGGATTGCAACTGTCTGTACAAGCTAGAGAATCCTGGAAGTCTGTTCAGGAACGGGTTCACCTTTTAAGAGGATTCATATCATAAATAAAGACATTAGTGGGTGAAACTTTTACTAATTCTTGTCATTAATCGTTTGAATGCATGGACGACTACAGTAGCCGCGGAAGGACTTTGCCGACATGGCGGATTCAATGAAAACCATCGGATGTGTGTCCAAGATCGTTATACTGATAGGATTGATCTCTATCTATGGAGTGAACGCTCAGGGCCCAGTCGGGGCTCCAGCACCCACAGTTTCTGTCGGTCCTGCTATTGCTCCGATTTCTGGACCTCCTGCTGCTCCTATCGCTCCTGCTTCTGTACCAAGTTCAAGCGTGACACCAGCTGCAGCTCCTGCCCTCCCAGGATTCATACCCGCTCTGGCTCCTTTCGATGCACTGGTCCCTTCTCCAGTTAGTAGGCCACCAACACCGTCACCTGCGCAAGCTCCAACTCCAACTCGAGGGCCAACGAATGCTCCTGTTCCAGCTTCGAGGCCGGTGTTTGCACCCATTCCGGTGCCGAATGCTCCATCAGCTTTTCCAGCAACTGCAACGCCTCCACCATCTGTGCTCTCTGTAAGTCAGCACTCTGCTCCATTCATGAAAATCTCCTTGGCTTTGCAGTTTCGGTTGTGTCTACTGGAGCTCTCTTCTCTGAGTGTCATCTTGTTCTGTTTGTGTTTCAGGGGCAGACAAGTGCTAACGCATCTGTGCAAATGACTGGACCGTCCGCAAGGTTCATGCTCCTCCTGGCTTCAATCGTCCTGACAGCTTTACTTTGGTAGGCACATCCGATGTGCTTCTATGGCAGCAAGACTCGATTCAGATGACAAGTTCGTGATATTACAGATGATATACAGACACATTACATGGTGAACGACGATGTCTCCGGGAAATTTTACTCGTGAACGATTAGCAGACATTCTAAATAGGCCGCGAACCTCCAAAATCGTAGTAAGCTGAATAATTTCATTGAATATAATAAAATCCGCTTAGCTTATCCTAGCTATTGATACTCATTGAGTTCTTTCTGCAGCATAATTAAATACAGTGTTATTTATCATGTTCAACTCGCGTGCTTGAAACTTCGCATATCGTTTCTACACTCTGGTGGGAAAGTGTTGTTGTGTGAAATTGAGTGGGATTGGACTTTGTAAAGCATGAAAATTAATAAAGTGTTATGAAAGAATCATGCATATACTTGCGTCCATGAGGGCACCTCTCATGTTTTCACGGTTGATACCACATCTGAACAAAGCTGAAGGCATCAGCTTCCATTCAGCTGAGTTCCAGGATTCTGGCTGTTCTAGACGCTCAGATTCGATGTATACACCTTCCCCTCGTTCAGATGGAAGTGTAGCAAACCCCTTGGGAAAATGAAAGCCTCTCCCTTCTTCACGATCTTTGCGTACACTTCGTTTGATATGGTTGGGTCTTTGCCGAAGATGTTTGCCACGAATCCGGGTACGTTTCTGCATCCAACAGGTACAGGATCTCGTCAACCAAGTTGTCCCAATGTCACTGGGATTAATATCAACCTGGAGGAGAGACAATCCCTGAGTTTTCAGAGCTGGCCTCTCTATCACGGAAGCAAGGGTTTGCTGTTACGTTGGTAGAAACTTTGGTGGGATCTGCAGCTTCAGCAGAACCAGAAACCAAGTCTTCGGTCGTAGCGAGCCCAGGGAGCTTGCAAGGGAGACCATTGAAAATTGGCTGACTGCAATATCTGCAATGGTTCAGGATCGACGACGCTCGAGCTGTAAGGATCAAAAGAGCAACGAGCTTCAAAAGTACGGAGTTGGAGCCTTGCATGAAGAAATCCGTCATTGCCACGTCCATTGTGCACAGAAAAAACTTACAAGTCCCATACTTGGACGTGAATTCTGCTGGTTATCAATTCGGCCCATGAACAATACACCTGCACTGCTCAACATGTCGAATACTGAAACTTCAATGGAATGTTGTACGTGTCTGCGGTACTACGTTCATGAACATGTAAGTACTCTGAGTTGCTACAATTTGTAGAGATATGTATTGAGATGTTATCACTCATGTCTGAGCTCCAATTCGTCTTTTGATTAGGCACCACTCAAGAACACAGATCTTACTTGAGCTGTAAACACGCCGTTGGACCCCAGCTAATAGTCCAGATTGAAGTTTGGGTAAAATTGTTGCACTCGGACCTGCGGAGCGTCTCTGCAGCCATTCCACCTGTCTGGACTGTTTGAATTGGCTTCAGTGTCCGGGCATTCAGGAATCAAACATTCAGCTTCTTGTGAGAAATTTTCACACACCTGTTGTAAGACATTCGAATCTACGTTCGGAGAAATGGTCTAGGCCGAAAACCCGATGTTTGTAAGTGCACCAGAATGAGAGTTCTGGTGAGGAACTAGTCCTAAGACTCTCATCATAGGATGGCAAGAACGAGTGTCATTGCGGCTCATGGGATTTTTCATACCTCTCACCGATTTCCTGCCTCGTTCCTGCATCGTCGAACGTGTTACCACCGTTCCAGGTTCGCTCGAGGGTGCACTTCACTAAGATTGTCCCATGTTCCCATGATGGGTCTCAAGATCCACATTCGAGTTTGTTCGGAACATCTGGCACATGGAAATGTCGTGTACAGATCTGTACCATACAACCGATCCATGCAGGTTTGCACAACGTGCATAGACGTCGATTGCGTCAAATGAATCAAAATTGGAAGTCGTTTACTGAACATAATCTTTGTCATAACAAGGAGAAAATTATTGGATGACACCAAACAGTTTTCATTTTGCCCCATGTACACTTCCACAGTCCATGTTACAATACGATTTGGGTTGAGGCATGTTTCAATATGGATTATTTGGTGATTTCAGGCGTTTTTTCTGATTCATAAACTATACATTGGGTTAACTCCGCATCCCGCCTAAGTACTCATATTTCAGACGAAATTTCAAGGATGAAAATTCTTGAGGTTTATTTTCAAAAAAAGTCAAACATGGTCAATTGGAAGCTGTTTTCAGCTCGTTCGTGGACCATGGCGGCACTACCTTGCTATAAAACTCGACGAAGTGTGAAGAGAGTTCCCTTAGCTTGATTAATCTACTAAGAAGTGGAACATCTTAACTTGGCCATTTCAACCTTGATAACATTCACCATTAAGTGAGAAATCACATCAAACTAATCCTTGTCGGGGTTGTTGTGTTCAGGTTCATCTTAATCATATTCAAAAAATCATTTCCGAGAGAACAACATTCATAGCATTTTAGATTTCCTCAAGCAAATATTCCTAATATATCTGAGAATCTTTGTTGTCATCATTCAGACACTTCTCAATCTTGCTCTGAACATCAATTTCATAAGAATAACAAGAAGGTTATAGTTGCTTAACAATTTAGCAATGTCAGCAATTGTGACATCATCATTATAAACGATAGTATCGGCGATGCCAAATCTATTAATAATATTTATTTTTTTGAAGTAATTTTTCAGGTTATAAGTAAAATTGTCGTTCTAAGCAGCATTTGCAAAGTTTGCAACATCAAACAAATGTGGAAGTCTTCCGTAAGCAACATCGGCGGGGTCATGTTTGAGTTTCAAAGCTACTAATGCAAGTTGGTCTTTAAGTTCTTTTTTATTATTATAAAATGTGATGAGATACTTTAGCTAAACACTCTTGTATTGCTTTTTTACGGCTGCAATGATATCCATATTTATCGGTTGAATCCAAGAGGTGATGTTATGCTTAAAGAAGTCAACACTAATGTCATTGCATTCAAAAATAGGAGAATGATCAAGAGCATTGTGTGATCAAGAGCAACAACACTTTGTGTACTGTCCGTCAACGAATGTATAAGGCTCAAATACCTTTCAAATCACTTATATAATGTGTCGTGCAGATATCTATCATCATACAACATACATTGCTGACATGCCATACTCACACACATATATGAAATAAGAGCATACCGGTGTATGATTCCCAAAGATTCTCATCGGTCTTCCGCTGAAACTCCTGAAAATTCTTCAACTTCTCCGTCTTCATCCTTGATAGTTTTTCTTCAACCTCTTTAAGAATTACGCAATCGGACTGAACAAAGATAAGCCACTAGCACCTCCACTCAAGCTGCCAACAGTAGTGTTACTAGTACCACTACTAGTATCTCCGCTAGTTGCTTCACCAGTTTGTTCACTAGTAACGCTCCTGATACCTCCACCAACCGCTCCACTAGTACCAATTTTTGTACCTTCACCATAGGCTCCACCAATATCCCCACTAGTGTTGCTACTTGCACCTCCACATGCAACAACATCACTTGCATCTCTATTAGAACCAACATTATACTAGGTAAAAGACAAGTAGTTTCGAGACCAATGGCATCTTCATGCATCAATATTTTCCAAAATTATGATAATCATCCATGGGAGTTCCCTCCAAATGCTGAAATAATTTATTTCATGGGAAGAATGTCGTGAACAACCAGAATTATGCAAAATTGCATATTACACCAGGTATCAAACTCCTGGATGAAGTTGTCTAGCTCAATAGTGCCCATCCACCCAAGTACCTTGGCCAAGTTTACTCCACAACTCAAAAAATCCAATCCGAAGCTAACGGAACACTTTTGCTAACCAAGTGAGAACTATTTCCAACGCTAAATTTCAACTCAAAGAACTTTCAGTTCTTTGAGTAGTCGCCTGCCTAAATTCTTTAACTTGCGATAGTGGACACTAAGCTAGAATTAACTCAATTAGAATTGATACTAATCCGATACTAACTATTCACAACACATATGGACATAACAAATGTCAAGACATTGATCCAAGCATTTTTCTGATAAAAATAAGAAATGAGTTACGTGTTTTTGACAATACATGCGGGCTACTTTGACTTTCCAAACATTGTGAAAACTTGTTCTGTTTCACTGCCGTTGCAACACAGCATCAATGTTATCATGTCTTTCATTCATTTTTTGTCCTTGATGATGATCAAGTCTACATGAGGCATCAACACGGTATCGTGGAACAAATCGAAAGAACAATCTAGTTTTGTCCATGTTGTAAACGCATTTTAGATTATATTGGCTAATCAAAGAAGACAAATCTTCAAAAGCTTTCAACATCTCTAGATTGCTTTTGTCTAACTCGCTAGCTTCTCCAAACAAATTTATGCCGTTTAAATCATGTTAATGTCAAAATTTTGCAAACCGGATCCACAATGGCTTAAATTTATGATCAACAATTTCCATTGCAGTTGCAATCTATTTTTCTTTGTGGCAAATAATATTGGAAGTCAAAACAAGTGAAGCTCGTTCTCATGCATCAATTCATTTAAGATGATTCTTCTCAACTTCATGAAACATCAATTAAAAGCACAGAATGTTGATTTTTGAGTGATTTGATCAATACTCTCAATTCACGTATTTCATTTTTGCTATACTTTATCTTCTGAATAGCTTTTTCATCAACAAAACTATTGAGCAATGTTGCTCATGAATGACGGCTTTGACGCATCTAGTCATTGATGATTTCCATACCATTGCGGTCATTCAGACGTTTGCTTTTTCCTTTTTGCTTAAAGGTTTGTTATGCATTGATTGTATAAAATGAACTAACCAGATTCTACTTCACTCCAAAATTCAAGAATCAAAATGATGTCATTCATCGCAAAATTCCATTGACAGCATGCTCGTGAAAGCCCAAGCCTGCTTCAAGCCACCTTTTAAAGCGTCTCCAATCACTACTTTTGATCACTTCTGATCAATGCTTGGCCGATAGTGCCAGCCGATCGCAACCGCAATTCGGCTAGAGTTGCGGCTAGAATTTTGATTAGAAGTCGGTTGCAAGCTGCTGGGCACCACAACGGGTGGCTGCAATTAATGGTACTTCTTCTAAATTTTCAAAGCATCATGCTGGAATGTTTATGTGGTAACCCACTTTTGGTATTTTTGCGGAATTTAAAACATTTTTTGGAAAACTGTACCGCGGCAACAGTGTAAATAGCCATCAGTACATTTAAAATAGAGTGAAACTTGATGATCTCGGAGAA